CAGACCTTGTCCAAGGATGTCATTTAATAGATGAGGAAAGTAAGGTCCAGAAAGGTTAAAGCAACATCCCCCAGGTCATACAAATAATAAGGGACAGAGCTAGCCTTCAGAGCCAGTCTTTGATACTTGACTCAATGATCTTTCTTTTTTTTTCCTGTTTATCTAAAAGGCAATCACAAACAGCTGCCTGCAGTTTAAAAGGAAATGTGGCCACAAATTAACGAATGCTTTTGCAATATTTTCAGTATAGAAAGAATTTTTGGCTAACTGCATATGGGTTCTTTTTTTGTAAATTTTTAAAATTATAAACTTAAATACAAAATGAGAAGAAAAAAATGAGAGAAGAAAAAAACATTATCATGTACGTAGCAGATCACAAGAGAGGATTCAGTATAGAACAAGAAATTTTCATTTCACGAAAGCCTATATAATAAATACTACACATTGTTTTCAAATCTCACCAGCTTTTCTTTGTTTCCTTGTTCATTTTCTCTTGTTTTCTGCTATGCACTTTTTACTTTATTTTTTCCCTATCTCCAAAGAAGGCTACAATTAAGCATGGATACACATACATACACACACACACACACACACACACACACACACACACACACATGCACGCACACACTCATACACATATGTGTAAGACTATACTATACCTATTTCCTCCTGTCATCTGTTTCTCTGAAGGTGGATAGCATCTTCTTTAATAAGTCCAACTCTTTCCCATGTTTTTCTAAATCAACCAGCTCATCATTTCCTACACCACAGCTATATTCCAACCCAATCACATCCTGAGAGATTGTCTATGAAAGTTTCCCCCCAGTTTTCTGCATTCCTTCTGTTCTTGGCTACATAGGTTTTATTTATACGAGAAAACCTTTATTCAAAATAATCAAAATTATCCTTTTTATACTTCAACAGTGTTCTTGCCTTATAATATAGTTTAAGGTCTGATACTACTGATACTATTTCCTTTACATCTTTTTTCCTTGGTTTCTTTGAAGTTCCTGACTTTTTGTTCTTCCAAATGAACTTTATTATTATTTTTTCTAACTCTATAAAATACCTTTTTTTAGTAATTTAATTGAGATGACATTGAATAAATAGGTTAGGTAAATGTGTCATTTTAAAAATTGTATCAGCTTTACTTACTCACAAAAAATACATATTACTTCAATTATTTAAATCTGAGTTTATTTGTACAAAAAATGTTTTGTGTTTATGTTCATATAGTTCCTGTGTCTGTTTTGGCAGGAATATACTGAGGCATTTTACATTGTCTTGATATTTTAAATGGTCTAAAACAATATTGAATAATATGCTGACACATAGTATAGTTTCTCTACTTTTCCCTTTTGATTAAATCTATTTTAACTTTAACTTTGTCTGAGATTGTGATTATTATCCCTGCTTTTCTTTTTTACTTACTAAATTCTACTCCTTCCCTTTATTTTATCTTTGTGTGTATCTCTTATTTTTATAATGTTTCCTAAAAGCAACATATTGTTGAATTCAAATTCTTAATTTGATGTCTGTTTCCATTTTATGGGTAAATTTGTCCCATTTACATTCTAAGCTGCAATTAGTTGTGTATTTTCCTCCTCCCTATTTTTCCTCACTATCCTTCTCACCCTATTTATTCTCCTCACTCCTCTGCTTTACTTCCACCTGCTACCTTGCCCTCCTATTCCTTAACGTCCCCTCTTCTCTAAGAATTCCTCCCTTATCCTCTCCCCCAACTCTATCCCCTTGCCCTCTTGTTTCTTTCTGAATTTAGAAGACTTTTCTATCCATACACACACACACACACACACACACACACACACACGTATATGTATATACATATATCTATATCTATATCTATATCTATATCTATATCTATATCTATATCTATATCTATATCTATATATATGTCATTCACTCTTTAATCCATTCTTGATAAGAGTAAGGTTCCATTACTACCCTCCCTCTCCCCTACTAGCTTCTTCTGTATCAAATTTTCTTTTTATGCCTCATTTGAATGCGATAATTACTCCTTTCATCTCTCCCTATGTAGTTTTGTGTTTTTCGCATCACCCCATCGTACTTAGCCCATGCCTTTCTTTCAAACTATCCAGATAATGGTGACAATCATAAGAGTACTTTTAATATTTTCACATATACAAAATAAACAATTTAACCTTATTGAGTACCTTATAATTGGTCTTTAATGTTTACCTTGTATTTCTCCTGAATGTTATATGTCAAATTTTCCTTTAAGTTCTGGGGGTTTTGTCACAAAAACCTGAAAGTCTTTGAGTTTGTTAAATGTTCATTTTTTTTTCATATTCAGGATTATGCTTAACTTTGCTGGGTAAGTTAGCCTTGGTCATAACCCCAGCTCTTTTGCTTTACAGAATATAGTATTGTAAGGCTATGATCCTTCAACATAGCAACTGCTAAGTCTTGTATAATCCTTGTTGTAGCTCCATGATATTAAAATTTTTTTTTCTTGTTGCTTTCAATATTTCCTCCTTAACCTGGGAGCTTTGAAACTTGGCTCTGATATATCCCTGTAAATTTTCCTCCTGGAATCTCAGGTAGTGATAAGTGGATTTTTTCTATTTCTACTTTGCCTTCTTGTTCTAGAACTTCAGGGCAATTTTCCTTGATAAATTCTTATAATATTGTATCAAAATTCTTTTTTTTTAATCATAATTTTCAGGTAGTCCAACTATTCTTATATTATTTCTCCTTGATCTGTTCTCCAGATCAATTGTTTTTCCAATGAGATGTTTCACTTTCTCTTCTATTTTTTCATTCTTTTGATTTTGTTTTATGATTTCATAGTATCTTAGGATGTCATTAGCTTCCCCTTGCCCAATTCTAGTCTTCAAGAAATTATTTCTTCCTTAAGTTTTTGATTCTTTATTTCCAGTTGGTTGACTTTCTTTTTGTAATTTTCTTGATTTTCTTGGATTCCTCTTATTTTTTTTTCTTATTTTCCCCCTATCTCTCTTATTTAAATTTTAAAGTCCTTCCAAGAACTCTTTTTTGTGCTTGGGACCATTTGACACTTCTCATTGAAAAAGGAGTGATTTTTTTTTAGCTCTATTATCTTCCTTTGAATATGAACCGAGATCTTCTGTATCTCCATAGTAACTATTTATGGTTGGGTTCTTTCTCCCTCACTTACTATTTTTATTTATTTATTTAATTTTGTTTTAAGCGGCTATTAGTGTAATCAAGTTGTAGTCCCTAGCTATGGGGAGTGATGCCCCAAACCTCAGGTCCTTCTTACTGTTATTTTCTGAGGTGTGTCTTGGAGCCTAACCTTGAGCTTTCCTCTCCACTCCTAAACCATGGCTAGGGCTCTCAGCCACACTGTCCTGAAAATGATCTTAATCCACATAGTCCCTCTGGTGGCTGAAAACTATAGCCGTCCTCTCTGCTCCAGAACTGCAACCTGGGACTCTGCTGTCCTGCAAGTGCCCACAGCTAACAAGGTCCCTGCCTCTCACTACTGTACTCACCAGGTGTGTGCTACCTCCTTTTCCCCTCCAGACACAGCTCAGGATGTGTCTGGTCAGCACAGCTGTGCTTGGCAGTGGAGGGTCCTTCAATCTCCTCCTCCTCAGCTGTCAGACCCCCACACTATCTGTGAGATAAATGTTTCTAATGCTGAGGCTGCCTCTCAACCCAGCTGCCCCCACAGCTTGTTGTTTGTTGATTCTGTAGAGTCAGCCTTATGGTGTTTGCACTTCATCACTCAGACCAAATCTCTGTTCTTGGAGGTCAAGTCTTTCCTGGAGTCTTCTCAGATTGTCTTAGGAGGACAACTGCTTTACCCCATGTTTATTCCTGCTGCTCTGAGGTAATGTTCTGTCTTTTTTTGTGGAGGATATTTGGAGAGCCAAAAATTTTCTGACCTACTCTGCCATCCAGAATCCTCTCTTCCATATGGGTTCTTGCTCAGTCATGATGAAGACATAGGCAGTAGTCATCATTAGAGCTATCATTATAATAGGAGTGACAGCACTCACATGGAAAATTCTTGAGGGCAGAGTCAGTCTATAGAACCTTTACCAGAATTTTACAACCTGGGGCAAGCAGCATTAAGTATGTCCTGGAATAAATACTCTTTTTTTAGTGGTAGAGGTAAATCTTATACTATCCTCACTGGTGAAAACTCCAGTACACTATCCTTTAAAGGTAAACCAGGGTCACCAGCCTCTGTAGGAAAAGATCCAGGGAAACTGGAAATTTCCTTTGGGGGATCCCATCTCCTAGGGAAGAACAGAACAAAAGTGACTCTCCTGCTTTGTAGCTGTGGAGGTATTTAGAGCACTGTCTGGAACTTTCTTGATTTAACTAATTATTCCAGCTAACTAGTTTATGTGATGCTGAAGGAATGAAAATAACCTCAAGTTGGTAAACATTAAATGCCAAAGTAATGGATACAAATTAGAAAAAGAAAGACATCCCTGCCCTCAAGGAACTTAGAATCCATGGGGAACATAGAGGAAGTAGACACACAAAAGGAGGCTGGAGGGGTGGTGGGGAGGACACCAGTGAAGTGTGAGCTGGAGAGTCCAGGTCCAGCTTTCTCTAAAAGAAAGCTTTGGGAGGAGTGTTCCACCTGCCTATCAAGGAGAGAGGAAGCTGAGGGAGTTAGAAAGGCTTTGAGTATCCAAAATTGATTTAAACATCATGAAGAAGAGATCTCAGGTAATGTAAATGTCACAAATGTAAATTTGCACAATCTTTATTTAACATTTTTTTGCCTCCTCTAAGCTGTGGAACTTTGCCTAGGACAAAGTCCTGACCACCCCACCCTTGTTACAAATCTGCCTATATCTCTTCTTTATTACATTTTCCATTGGTCCACTGCTGAGCCCCATGACAGCCCAATGCATTCTTTCTAGACATACATTGTCCAAAAACCCAGTTTTGCCCAATATTCCTGTATGTAGTAAGCTTATTTTTATCTCTTATAAATAAATTTGTTTCCTTCCCAGAGTCCAAGCTTAAAAACATTCTACAAGATGAAGATGCTGCTAATCTCACTGACCTTAATCATCTGGGCTGGAACATCAGCTGATCAGAGCCCTGGTATTTGTCTATTTCATTTCTATTACTGTTTGTTTGTCACGGGTCACCACATTTTCAGAAGTGAAGGAAGGGGTGGGGATGGACTGAAAACTAAGGACTGAAAAAAAAAACCCCAAACAATCAGATAAAGTGGCTGTCTATTAAAAAAAAAACCCACCACAGGCAGCACTTTGTAAGTATGCAATACCACCAAACCATCTAAACACTAGAACATAACAAAGATGTAGTTAGAATTCATGATTTGTATGAAATCTAAAAGACTCTGTCTTTCACTCTAATTCTGGTCTAAGTACAGAAATTAGGTTGTCTCCTAAATCCTGACCAGCCATTATTATTTCTGCCCAACTAAGCAGGTTAGATTGCATCGGAAATTTAACAAGTGAAAAAAAATCCAATCACTTCTCCCTCTCTACCTCAGTGCTCCTGATTCAGCTCTCTTCCCCACATTTCTCAAAATGAATGTTTCCTTTCTGACCTTCCTTTAAAATGGTCATGGTAGAGATAATTTTTAAAACCTCTCCCATAAGCCAGCATCCTAACCTTGAAGTTCTTGAGGTTAGAATCTTACATTATATCCTAATATTCTTATAATATAGACTAATTTTACCTAATGTAACAGCCATCTTACAATGTATTCTATCTAATGAGCTAAGTAACAGCAGCAGCAGAGAATAGCTATCTTGAAGTGAGGTGGGAGAGTCACCCCTCCTACTCCTGGTTCTAGTATATTTGGTTTATGCCTCGGCATGGTTAATTTGACTTATCTCCAGAGCTGAACAATACCCACCCCACCCCCATGCCCTTCTTCTATACACAGACAAGGCAGTCTGTGCAAACTGTCAAGATGCCAAGCCCCTGGGAAGATTTCCATAGGACAGTCTTGCTCACCCTAACCCACTTTCAAAGTCCACTTCATTGTCCACTGAGCAAAGGTTTTCTTTCCCTCCAGCGCAGTACCACCTTGGCCTAATTTCAATACTACATTAAAGATTGGTGGTTCCAGATGGTGGAAAGTCACTAGCATAGAGTTAAGGGGAAAAAAAAAACACCAAGCCTTTCCCCTCCACCCATTCCTCTTTTGTTTGTTTGTTAATTAAAATTTTTTTCCCCAATCATTTTTTTTCCTCTTCTGTCTCTCCCTAGCCTATCATCCACCCCCTACCCCACCTACTACAAGAGAAAAGAAAAAAGAAAACCAAAACCCCATAACAAATGTGCACAGTCAGGCAAAACAAATGTCCATATTGGCCATGTCCAAACACTGGGGTCTCATCTGCAATTAGTCTATCCTCTCTCTGATGGGAGGTGGATAGCATTCTTTATTATCAATCATCTTCAATTATGATCAATCATTGTGTCGATCACAGTTCCCAAGTCTTTCAAAATTGGTTCATTTTCACAGTGTTAGTGTTATGAATTGTTCTCCTGATTCTGCTTACTTCACTCTGCATCAGTTTATACAAATCATCCAGGTTTCTCTGAAACCATTCCCTTCTTACAACATAATTGTATTATATCACATTCATATACTATAATTTGGTTAACCATTCTTCCCATTGGTGGGTATGCCTGCTCTCCATTCTTTTTGCTAAATTCCAATTTGGAATATTAGGACAATATTAATGATAATTTTCTAGGATTAGACCACCACAGAATGATACTTTTCTTGCATTTAGGGTCTATGTCCGAAATGACACTATGCTTCTCAAGTCAGTATTATATTGCCTTGTGGTGTTGAGGATCCAGGTCTTATAATAAGTTTCTTTTCTTCTTTGTTTCTGACTTGGGGTTTGCAGGTCCTGAGTTTGCTGATGTTGTGTTCCTGGTGGATAGCTCTGATCACCTGGGGAGTACGTCCTTTCCCTTTGTGAGAACCTTCATAAGCAAGATGATCAACAGTCTGCCTATTGAAGCTGACAAGTTCCGTATCGCCCTTGCCCAGTACAGCGATGATCTACACCAGGAGTTCCTGCTGAACACCTTCAAGACTAAGAAGGCAATGTTTGACCACCTCAAGAAGAACTTTAACTACATTGGTGGGTCCCTGCGGGTAGGCAATGCTCTAGAGAAAGTCCACAAGACCTACTTCTCGGGGCCAGCAAATGGAAGAGACAAGAAATTATTTCCCCAGATTTTAGTTGTTTTGGCTTCAGCCAAATCTGAGGATGATGTGGTAGGGCCTGCAGAAGCCTTACACAGAGATGGGGTAGAAATCATTGCACTGGGGATACAAGAGGCTTCAGAAGAAAACCTAAAAGCCATGGCCACTTCTCAGCATCACTATAACCTTAGGGCAGTCAGAAACGTTGGAATGTTTTCAGGCAACATGACCAGGATCATTAAGGAGACAATAAAGCAAAAGGCAAGAATGCAAGATGTTGATGAAGTAGGTGAGTAAATTGACAGAAGTTATATGAGAGATATCTAATTCCATGGAGAAACCAGACTTCATTTACAAATGTTGAAAGCTGCATAAATGAAATATATTGGGATCACATTTCTGTATTCCTTGTAGCATTGTGTGTCCTAAAAATACAGTAGGTACTTAATAAATGCTTGTTGGTTGATAGAGTAACACTTAATAGGTCCATGATCTTATGCAGGCATTCCTTCCATCTGTGTAAATTGCAGCCTATTCACCTTTTTTTTTTTTATCATGTATGACTGTTATCTAAATCCTCCATATGCATCCTAAGACCCTTTCTGTATTTACTGGATACTGAGTACAGTACCCAGTTCCTTTTCTGGTCCTACATGTCTTTTATCCACTTACATACATCATTGTTGACTAGCATATTTATGAGGGAGCTAGGTGGCACAGGGGAAAAAGCCTTGGGTCTGGAGTCGGGAAGACCTGAGTTCAAATATGGCCTCAGACATTTACTAGCTGTGTGACCCTGGGCAAGTCACTTAATCCTGTTTGCCTCAATTTCCTCATCTGTAAAATGAGCTAGAGAAGGAATTTTATCACATCTGTAACAAAACCTTGTATGGTCTTAATGTATGTAAGATAGCTTGTTGGAGGAGAAATTTTAAGGCCTCATTTTGCTCCATCAAATCATATGCTTTTAAAAGAAATCTACAAACAATAGACACAAATAGATATTATATTCCCTATATCTCTCTGTTAACTGTGTGCCTGTGAAGATGTGGTCCATGGTCAAAAACCATCTGCAAAAGCGTGCTTATTCTCATCTCTTATTTTCATCAAGGATACCTCACTGGGTGCGTAGATTGTTTACAATAAAAGATGAGGCAGTTGGCAGATTTTTGCAGTAGCTGATTTCTTCCTTATCACCCTTCTGGATAATAATAAAATATATAAACTTCTCCATTTTTTTGAAATCTTCATCTCTTTGAAATATATTGAAGAGTAAACCATTGGTTCCTTTAAAATTGTGTTGCTTCTAGCATGGATTTCTTCGATCTACACATAGGTGCATATTGACCAATATATATGTGGTCAGGTCAGCCTCAGCTGTACTTCCTCATTTCAATTCATTATCATTACTGGTAAACTACTGAGATGGTGGAATCCAAATGAAGTGGTTTCACGTTTGTTGCTAACAAGAATAAAATCACTGTAGAAAACTTAAACAATCTGTTCCACTTCACATGTATTTGTTGACTTGCTTCCAGGATCATCTACAGATTTCTCCTTTTTCATTCCCTCCTCAACTTCTTCTTGCTGTTTTGTGAGGTGATGCTGATGGTCACTTTCTGTAATTGTCTCTTGGGAGGTTTTACAAATGAATTTGTATTTTAAAGTATTGCACCCCTGCCCGCCATCTTCTTGGCTCTGCTTGGCAAGAAGACCAAATGTTGGTTGCCTGAGGCAGTTACTGGGCTTTCTCTGTCCCTTGTTGTGGTATTTATTTTGAATAAGTTGAATTCTCTAAGACATGGCGTCTCTAGGAAAGAAGGAAGGAAAGAAACACGTTTATGTTGAACCTGCTATATGCCAGGCACTGTGCTAAATGCTTTACAAAGATTATCTTGTTTGATCCTCACAACAACCCTGAGGAATAGGAGCTATTATCCCCATTTTATGGTTGAGGAAATGGAGGCAAGCAGAGGTTAAGGGACTTGCCCAGGGTCACTCAGCTAGAAGTGTCTTAGGTTAAATTTGAACTCGGGTCCTCCTGATGCCAGGCCCAGTTTTCTGTGTACTATGGTGCCACCTAGCAGCTTCTCTAAAGACATGGGTATCTTTACTGTTAATTCATTTGCTGCTAGTGTTTGTCCTTTGTTCTCCAAGAGGACCATGGCATCAGGAAGGTGATGCCAGGACATGCAAGTGAGTTGAATTTAAGTGAGGGAGGGCTGTGCAAAGTCACCAGCCTCACCTTTTCCTCTGCAGCCATCTAGATCCAGTGGCAAGATGTGGATAAGGACACCTTGGATGCAGTGGGAGACCTTGGCCTTTTTAAGCTACTAACAGACCACTACTAGGTCTGTTTCGAAAGATTACTAGGGAAAAAAGAAAATAATTTATATATTCTAAAATATTTATAGCGCCTGTCTTTGTGGGGGCAAAGAACTGGAAATATTGGGGATGCCTGTCAATTGAGCAATGGCTGAACACAATGTGGTATATGATTGTGATGGAATACTGCTGTGATATAAGAAATGATGATCTTGATGATCTTAAAAAAATATGGACAGACTTGCATGAAATAACAAAGAGCAAAATGAGCAGAACCAGGAGAATGTTGTATACAATAACAGCAATATTGTTTTGTTTTGGTTTTTTAGGTAATTGGGGTTAAGTGACTTGCCCAGGGTCACACAGCTAGTAAGTGCCAAGCGTTTGGTCTGAGGCCAGATTTGAACTCAGGTCCTCCTGACTTCAGGGCCAGTGCTCTATCCACAGCGCCACCTAGGTGCCCCCAGCAATATTGTTTTAAGAACAGCTTTGAGCAAATACGTTATTTTGTCTGTTCAATCTCCTTGCCAAGCAGAGATCACATAGTAGCAACGGGAAACACTGGTGCAGAGTATAAATTCATTTGCAATACCTTTTGACAGAAGAGACCGTCATCTGACAGAATTACATTTTGGGTTGGAGCTGCTGTAATTGCATTGTTATTTTTTTTAATCTTAACCCTTTCTTCTGCAGTAGAATGAATACTGGATTTGGAATTGGTATTGGGTTCCAATCCTGCCTTTCCATTTTACTACGTGACCTTTGGCATGTCTTTTAACTTTCGGTCTGAGAGTCTTCATGTGTAAAATGACAGGGGTTGGAAAAGATGACCTCTGGATTTCCTTCCAGATCCAAATCTATGATCTGATGAAGAAAAAAATAACTCCAGTTGGTTTGGTTTTTTTGTCTTGCTGTAACCAACCAGTAATCTGACTGCACATAGCTAGCATACTCATTCAGAAGTGATTTTCGCATTGGTAATTAGTACTTTTCTGAGCAGAGGTGTTGGAGTGTGGGACTTGGAATCAAGAAGACCTAAGTACAGGTCTTGCTTCAGATCCACTTAGTAGCTCTGTGACCTTAGACAAGTCATATCTATTTGAGGCGCCTTTATTGTTCTCTCTGTAAAATGGGGATTAGCTACAATGATGATAGCTGATGTTTCCATCACACTTTAATGTTTCTGAGGACTTTGCAGTCATTCTGTTATTTTGGCCCCCAAACAATCCTGTGAGATCAATGATACATCAAGAATATATGATTTGTGTCAAGAGAACTGATGCTGTTTGCAACTGATCTATCATTTATGATCTCAGAGGGTTGCTTGAGACGAACAAAAGTTAAGTGACTCACCTAAAAGCACACAGCTACTAAGTGCCAGAGTCAAGATTTGAACCCAGGTCTTACCAAATGAACCTAACTAATGTCTTCACTTTACAATGTCTTTCAAGCAGTGAATGTTGCCATCACAGAAGTAGATAAGCAGGCTATATTAACCTTTGGATTCTTCCTTTGTCCTCACAGTATGTGAAAGAGATTCTGTGGCTGACATTGTCTTTCTATTGGATGAGTCCTTGGAGGTCAGAGGAAACTTGGAAGACCTTCAGAGGTTCCTGGAGAACATCACAGCCTCCATGGATGTGAGGGCAGGTTGTACCAGGATAGGCATGTTGAGATTCAGCGACAGGGCGGAGGTGGTGACTTCTCTGGAATCTCGCATGAGCCACGCGGAGATTGCACAGGCCATTGGGAGCCTCTCTCTAAGGGATGGAAAGGCCTATATTGGGAAAGCCTTGAAGAAGGCCAGAGAAGAAGTCTTTAGCCACAGCAGGAAGGCCCAGGGCGTGCGACAGATAGCTGTCCTGGTCACTCATAGATCATCAGAAGACGAGGTGAACGAGGCAGCTGAGGACCTTCTCCTGCAGGGTGTCTCCATATTTGCCATAGGCATTGAAGGCTACAACATCACCCAGTTGGAACAGATAGTGTCTTACCCTGTAGATCATTATATTTCCATCCAGAAGAGCTACACAGACCTGGAACCTTACAGTGTCACTTTTCTAAACAAACTCCAGTATGAAATACAGTACAGGATGTCTGTCCAACGTGAACATACTGAACGTTACAGGACAGGTATGTCTTCACCTCCGCATTTTCAATTTTCTTCTGCCATAGTTCTGCTTCTAGTTGCCTGAGGTGAAAATGTATAGGTATCTAGCTTTGGTGAGTTGTTATTAAAACAGTTTGCTCAAAAATGTACTGTAACTTTCCGCCCACAATGGACAACGATCAAAGAATATAGGCTGTTGCAACAGTCCTAGTACAGTTTTAGGCTATTAAAGCCTTATTTAATTTGTGGCTTTAATTTGCATCTCTCTATTTTTTTTCCCTCTACTATCAAATGATTGTAAATCTTTTTTTTCTAATTGTCTATTAGACATGCAAATTAAAGCAACTTGGGGATACCATCTCCCATAAAATTGGCAAAGATTATTAAATACAAGGAAACAATGTTGGCGAGGTTGTTGAGGAACAGAGACACTCATTCATTGCTAGTAAAATTGCACGTTTATGTAATTTTTTTTTGCAATTGCCATGTTTTAAAAAAATTTTTAACATTTGCTTTTAAAATTTTAAGTTCCTAATCCTCTCACTCTAATTCCTCTCCTACCCATTGAGAAGACAAACAATATGATACCCATTTGTATAATCTTTTTGAAAAGCAATCTGTTTTTTTGTTATAAGAGATAACTCTTTGGAAGGGAAAAGCAGAAAGAGGAAGGAGACAGGAAATTCTAGATGATAGAAAAATAAATGATAACAATAAAAATCCATTTAAGAAAAAAGAAAAGCAATCTAATATTGTGTAGTAAAAGTTAGGGAAAAATCATCATGTCCCTTGATGGAATATTTTATTGTTGGGAATAAACCCTGAAAGTATTATCAGTAACATTTGAAAAGAGATATCCACTCAGAGATTTTCATAGAAACATTTGTTAGTAATTGAAAAAAAAAATCAACTCCCCAAAACAAAGCCCAAACTAGAAGCGATCTTCTGAAAAGGGGGGAATTCTTAAATAACTTGTGGCACATTAATGGATAGAGATTGAATCTATGATTTCACTAGCATAATGAACTGTTAGATGAGGAAATTCCTTCTATCAATGCAGGTTCACCTTTTCTGCAATTTGTAGTCATAAAGTGTAGAAAAATGTAAATGCAAAGGGTTCTTAGTCCGGGGAGGATCTATGAATTTGGGTTTTTTTTGTAATTTGATAGTCTTATTTAAATATTATGTATTTCCTTCGAAATCCTTTGTATTTTATGCATTTAAGAACATAATTCTGAGAAGGGATCGTAAGTTTTATCTAACTGCCAAATAAGCACAAAAACATCAAAAAAAAGTTAAGAACTGTTTTATGTATCAAATTTAATTGGTTTCACTGATAATTATTACTAAACAAGTATAATTGGTGCCCCACAACATATCAACATTTAGCATAGGCCTTACCCAGCCCCAGGAAGATTATAAAGCAAGGTGACTGGTACTGAGAACTAATTGAAGCAATTTGGTGGGATTTTTCTGATCCTGTTATTTGCATTGTCTTCTCATATGCCCTCTGAAAACCAACTGACCACTCCCTTTAAATGAATTTTTTGACAATCAAGTAGCCTTCCTATTCAAGTGTTTTATGCTTCAAACTTTCAAGGGAAAAAAATCCTTTTTTTTAATATACTCACTAGAGTTGAATAATTAGGAATTTCCACAGTCATAAATTATGAAAAAGTTATTTGGAAGCAACTAATTTGTCACCTGCATTTTTCCTTTAATGGAACATGGCCTCTGCTAGGTTCCTTTTCATTCCATTGTTATTTTCTAAAATGAATAACAACTTCAAAAATGTGTCATATTTATTTTAAATATATGTTATACACACTTATGTGTGTATATGTTGTATCTCCAGACCAAATATAAACCCCTTGAGGTCAGGGACTAATTAATCTTGCCTTTGAATCCCTAGCACTTTACACACAGCACAAAGTAGGCACTTAATAAATGCTTTATTGATTGCTTTTAAAAATTTAATTTCCCATCTGGACACCTGACTATGTATACCTGTAAATATCTCTCAAATACAAATTTTGTTCATAGAATTTTGGGTGATAGAAGGCCTCCAAGGTTCAGATGATCCACTTCTCCATGTCTATGTGATATTATGTAAAGGATCCAGAAAGTTGGCTCAAGAAGATTTTCTTTAAAACGTCCAAAGCCTTAATGTTTCTCCCTAGATGCTCTTTCTGAGTGTGCCAACATTAACTGTGCATAAACTTTTTATTTCCTTGCAGGCTGCATTGAAACAGAAAAGGCCGATATCTATTTTCTCATTGATGGCTCAGGAAGTGTTAAAAACTACTTCCAAGAAATCAAGAATTTCATGATTGAGGTGACGCAAATGTTTATTGTTGCCCCAGAGAAGGTCCGGTTTGGGGCAGTGCAGTATTCGACCAGTAGTCAAGAGGAGTTTGGCATTGGCGTACATTCTAACAAGGTGAACTTAGGCAAAGCCATTCTCAATATCCGACAGATGGGATACACGACAAATACAGGAGCAGCCCTGAATTTCATGCTGCAAGTGATACAGGGCTCCAAGAGGAAGCAGCCCAGCAACATCCCCTGTCATCTCCTTGTCTTGACAGATGGGAAGTCTGATGATAAAGTTACAGAACCAGCCAAGAGACTGAGGGAGGAAGATGTCATCATTCATGCAATTGGCGTCAAAGGAGCCAACATACATGAGCTGGAAGACATAGCAGGGTCAAAGGACAGAGTTAAATTTGTACATAATTTTGACTCTTTAAAAGGCATAAAGGATGAAATTGTTCAGAGCATCTGCCATGAAAGAGGTAAGATAAATCACTTCCTCCCGTGCATTTCTTCACAAATATCTTCCAGATGATAGATGATCAAGTTATGAGATAGGAAGGATGGCAATATGGCGAATTCAGGCTTGATGTCAAGAAAGGCTTCCTAACAATGAGCATGATCTATAAGTGAAGGTAGAGAGGGCTGCCTGGGAAGATAATGACCCCATCCTTCTTAGAGGTCTTCAAGCAATGTCTGGATGATTACTTGTTGGGAATGTTATAGAGAGAATTCTTGTTCAGATCCAGGTTGGACAAGACCTCCTTTGGGTTTCCTCCCAATTCCAAGATTCTGGGGTTCTTCAAATTTCCAAGGTAGATTTATGAATCCTCCTTGGAAAACTCAAGAAAAAGATGTTATAGAATGATGATGTGGAATAATATTTTTCTATTTCATCAAATACTCCTTGATAGTAAATGATTAATTTTGGATGCAGCATATATTCTTTCAGGCTCCAAGATACTTTTCTTCCTTTTTTTCCTTATCCCACGACCCATGAGAAAGCTTTTTTTTTGAAATTTAATTTAATTTTTTTTGTTACATTAAGTTCCAAGCAGTCTTTTTCCCACTGTCCCCAGCCTGCACTAGAGAAGACCACCATTTCACACACACACACACACACACACATATGTATGTATGTATGTATGTATGTGAAGGTAAATATATATGTATATATGTGTAAAATATATGTAAAACCATACTATGCAAATTTCTACTAATCAGTTCTTTCTCTAGAGGTAGATAGCATCTTCTTTCATAGGTTTTTGTAATTGGTTTGAATATTTATAATACTTGGAATAACTTAGTTGCTCACAGTTCAGACAATATTGTTGTTACTATATACAATATTTTCTTGGTTCTGCTCATTTCATTCTTTATTATTTCTTGCAAGTCTTTCCATGTTTTTCTAAAATCAACCAGTTCATCATTTCTTGTAGTATAGTAGTATTCCATCACAATCATATACCACGACTTGTTTAGCCATTCCCCAATTGATGGACATCCCCTCAATTTCCAGTTTTTTGCTACCACAAAGAGAGCTGCTATAAATATTTTAGAACATATAGTTATTTTTTTCCTTTTCCCCCAATCACCTTGAGAAGCAAACCTAATAGTGATATTGTTGGGTCAAAGGGTATACAGTTTTATAACTCTTTGGGCATAATTCCAGATTGGTTTTCAAAATGGGTGAATCAGTTCACAGTTCCACCAACAGTATACTGGTGCCCTAATTTTTCTGCATCCTCTCAAACATTTGTCATTTTCTCCTTCTGTCATTTTAGCCAATTTGATAGGTAAGAGGTGATATTTCAAAGTTGTTTTAATTTGCACTTCTCTAATCAATAATGATTTAGAGAATTTTTATAGAACTATTCATAACTTTGATTTCTTCGTCCAAAAACTGCCTGTTTATATCATTTGGCCCCCAGAATGCTTTTCACTGAGTTAGTATATTAGGGAGCAACCTTCATGACCTGAAGGAAAGAATGCATCATACAATTTGAGTTGATCTTTATAATGTGATTTAATGTTTTAATGATATTTGCTTTTGCTATCTTTTTAGTTTGAAAATGGTTACCTTGATTAACACCATTTTTTTCCCTTAACAACCTACAGACTGTAAAGACAAAAAAGCAGACATCATGTTTCTGGTGGATAGTTCTGGGAGCATGGGAGCTGCTACCTTCAGCAAAGTAAAAGAATTTATGAAAAATCTGGTGGATAAGTCTCATATTGGCATTGATCAAGGACATGTTGGTGTCATTCAGTTCAGCAATTTTACCAAGAAAGAATTTGGGCTCACTGAACATATGACCAAAAGTGACATTTTTGATGCAATTGACAGAATGAGTCCTATTGGAAGTAAAACCTATACAGGAAAAGCACTGAGATTTGTGTCTGATTACTTTGAACCCTTGAAGGGAGGACGTTCTGGTGTGAAGAAGTTTCTCATCCTCGTCACTGATGGGAAGGCACATGACAAAGTTAAAGAACCAGCTTTAGATCTTCGGAATAAAGGAGTCACTATCCTCTTGGTTGCGATCTTCCGATCAAAATCACCTCAGCTAGAGGATATCACTGGAAATGCAAACTTGGTTTATTATGTTGAGAGTTTTGATAACCAAAAGCTACTTGAAGATAAGCTGGTTTTTGATATTTGCACTCTCGATGGTAAGTAGTCTCCATTTTCACTAAAATGACTTGAATTTAGTTTTCTAGAACATGATATGTTAATACTTCTTAAATGATTTTTGGAATAATAATACAAATCACAATCATGATAATAATAAGCTAGAATTCATAATTCAGTACCAGTCCTTGGACATAATTAAAGCTGCCTTTGGAAAAATTCATTTTTTTTCCACTCTATATGTTTTTAACCAAGGCTCTGGTAGCCGTGGGTATTATGAATTAAGAATTTGGCCAAGTAATATCATAAAGCACTGTTAGGTGGCACAGTGGATAGAGTGCCGGGCCTAAAGTCATGAAGACTCATCTTCCTGAGTTCAAATCCAGCTTCAGAGACTTACTAGCTGTATGACCCTGGGCAAGTTACTTAACCTTGTTTGCCTCAGTTTCCTCATCTGTAAAATGAGATGGAGAAGGAAATAGGAAACCATTCCAATATCTCTGCCAATAAAACCTTAAATGGGATCACAAAGTCAGACATATCTGAAAAACGACTAAAAATTTATGGGCAGCTAAGTGGGACAGTGAATAGAGCACTGGGGTTGGAATCAGAAAGACTCGTCCTAATGAGTTCAAATCCTGCCTCAGTCATTTACTAGCTGTGGAACCCTGGGCAAGTTACTTAATCCTGTTTGCCTCAGTTCCTTATCTGTAAAATGAGCTAGAGAAGGAAATGGCAAACCACACCATATCTTTGCCAAGAAAACCCCAAATGGGGTCATGAAGAGTCAAACATGACTGAAAAATACTTGAAAGTATAGGGGGGGAAAACATACTAACCTAAAATCTGGCTTTGATGTTTCCCAACATTTTTCTAAGATTTAGTTACAAGTCTTAGAAGAGATATGTGTTGATGTAGTATTGAAATATAAAGACATGTTTAGAGAGAGCCATGGTATTGGATATGGAAAGACAGTCTACCTCTTCACCTTTAAATTCTCCTATTACTTTCTGTCTTTGCATTCTTCTGTAGATGACCTAAATACAGATCTCCCTTCCTAATTTTAAAGATTTTATATTTATCCTCCAGTTGAGTCCACAGCTATAGTTTCAAGCCATTTCGTGTCTTTTTTTTAAATTCAAACAACAGGAAGTAGTTATTTATAAAACATGTAGTGTTAAGTTCATTGGCAGCTAATGCTGCAATGATTTTTGGGATAATCAAGCAAATCAAGGAACACACCAATCAACATACAAATTAAAGGCAATTGTGGGTTTTAACTTACCCCATGAGGCTGATCCAGTTCTGAGAGAGAGGGAGGATCCAAAGATGTGTCTTGGGTGCCACAGGTTAAAGAATTGAGCCAACAGTTCTGTAAATCCAACCTTTCAGACACGAGGCGAGTTTAACCATGTGGCCGTGCCTTCTTTTCTCAGATACTTGTGTGTTTTTCTGGATAGGAATGAGTGAAATGTCTTATTTCAAATGCTGATCTTCAATTAGTAGTAATTAGATTTTTCTCAAACATCAGTTTGGAAACAGCACAGTATAGAGATTAGATAACTGAAGGAGATGTCCAGAGGAAGGAAAGGAAAGGAATCCGTATAGTATATGGAAGGAGCTCAGGGATGGAGAAGGGTCCAGAGTGGGCATGACAGCTGTCTTCAAATACTCAAAAGGTCAATCTGTGGAAATAGATTTTTTTTAAATTTGGCCCCATAATACAGAAGTAGGAGCAGAAGGTCACAAAGAACACTTTGAGGTTTGATCTCAGGAAAGTATTGCCAATGAGTAACATTGCCCAAAAGAAGAATTAGCTGCTTTGGGAAGTTCATGGGTTCTTCTTTCCTGGACATCTTTGAGCAATAGCTAAGTGACTCCTTGTAAAGTATTTCACGGTAGGAGTCCTTTCTTCTAGTATTGGTTGGACTGAGTGGCAACTCTGGGATTATCTCTTTAGTGTTTTCTGTGTGCAGGAAGACTGCACATCTTCCATGAGAATTGCTTTCCCCCAGCCAATGCTGTAGGATGTTAACTGCATGGCCTTTATTATGAAACCTTTCTCTTTCTTGCAGAATGCAAACAGATTCAAAAGCTAGACATTGTATTTGTGCTGGATGATTCCTCGAGCATCGACCCTCATCAGCATCAGAGCATGATAAACTTTACGATGCACTTGGTGAACAAGTCGGATGTTGGCAGTGATGGTGTTCAATTTGGAGCCCTCAAATATGCAGATGATCCTGAAATCCTCTTCTACCTTAATACCTACCCGACCAAGGAAGGCGTCATTAAGGGACTTAACTACTTGAAAGGAGGAGTGAACACTTACACAGCTAAGGCTCTGAAGAAATCCCATGAGCTATTTACTGAGGAAAAAGGCAGTCGAATCAACAGCGGTGTAAAGCAAATGCTCATTGTGATTACTGATGGGGAATCTCATGATAGTAAAGATCTCGAGGCCACAGCCAAGACACTAAGAGATAAGAACATCATCATTTATGGAGTGGGTGTAGCTGCTGCTTCTGAGAAAGAACTCTTTGATATAACAGGCTCAAAAGACAAATATTTCATGGTAGACAATTTTGAAAAATTGGAAGAAATTTACCTCCCCATTGAGAAAAAAGCTTGTGACAATTCACTTGATGGTAAGTTGCTACATTAAAAGGTCACATACTAGATCTGCCTAAAACTAATGTGAAACAATGGCATTAAGGCTGCCACACACTAGCCATGTGACCTTGGTTCAAACTCTTTGGGCCTCAGTTTCCTTATCAGTAAAGTAAGGGGGCTGGAATGTAAGTTCCTTCCTGCTCTAAATCTATCATTCTGTGATCCTTCCAGTTCTTAATCCTCTGACTTCCAAGTGAAGAATGAATTTCAACCTGCACGTGAGTCTCAGAGGTCCCCATTATTTTGGAGGGTCTCTCTTTTCAGAGAGAGGTTTCCATCGGCCTCCCTCTCTGTCCTTAGCTTGTTGCATTTCCATTCATGATGTTCTGTTGATCCAGTTGATTTGTGATGTCATTGGTCAGTCTGAGACCCAACTCAGGTGAGAAGGTTTGAAGCTGGTTGACAGACCAGCTTTTCACCTGCTGTTCATTCCAACAAGCTATTATCCGCCATGAGGGCAAGGACTATTTAATTTTTGCCTTGCCATCTCTAGTGCCTTCCATGGTGCATTACACATAGTTGGTGCTTATTGTCTTTTTAAAAGTTGAACTGACTGAAATTAAATTCTCCTTTAAACATTTGGGCTCTTGATGCAATGATGTGCATCTCAAATGAATGGCGTTAGTACGCTCTCAGATGTCAGTAACCAGTCCCCCTGAGTTACCGCCATAGTGGAAAGGGCATTAAACTTGTCTTCAAAAGGACCTGGGTTCCAATGTTGCCTCTTCTTCTTAGTACCTGTGTGACTTTAAGCAAGTCACCTCTCTTCTCTCAGCCTCAGTCTCCCCATCTGTAAAATGAGATTGGACTAGATGATCTCTAAGCATTCTTCCCGTTCTATATCCCCTAATCGATTCCCTTAGGAGAACTTCACATCAAATGCCTTCCCATTTCTCTTTGGGGAACTTGACATCAACAAATCCACATGGGAACTTCAGATTTCCCTCCTATTGTTATGACCACATTTCACACTAAAAATGCCTCTGGTGAGGATTGCTATGTGAACAGCCACTTCAGATAACAAAAAATAATAGCTTTTAGGTTTGTAAAGTGCTTGACAAATGCCATCTTATTTGATCCTCACAACCACTGGGCAAAGTGGGTGCTATTAGCCCTATTTTGCAAATAAGGAAACTGAGGCTGGGAAAGGTTAAATAAGCTAGTATGTGTCTGAGAAGGGCTTCTAGCAATCGTATCCCTTGGTCATGTCTTACTTCCCTTCACTTGGGGATCATCCTTGGCCTTTCATATTAGTGTCTGCATAGTCATTCTAAAATGGAAGCAATTAGGTGGCACCTAACGCTGGGCCTGAGTAACAAAGACCTGAGTTCGACTCTGGCCTCAGACACTTGGTTGTGTAATCCTGGGCAAGTCACTTAACCCTTGTATGCCTCAGTTTCCTCATCTGTAAAATAGGGATGATACCATTTAGCATCTACCTCCCAGGGTGGTTGTGACCATCAAATGAGTTATTTATAAAGTGATTTGCAGATGTTAAAGCTATAAAAATGCTATCTGTTAGTATTCTTTTCATCATCTTTCCCCTCATTCTCTGTGAGAAACCCAACTTTGCTCCTTGGTGGAGCCATCTGTGGAATATGAGACATCTGAGTTTAGGAAAGATCCTACCTCATCACCCTCCCCCTTCTCTCTTTCCTTCTCCTCCCATTTCTTCCCTTCCCTCAATATATACATATATAATATAGAATTTTATCTCCTCTTTTTTTCAGTTTGTGACATGAAAAAAGCAGATATATTTTTCCTTTGCGATGGCTCTGATTTAGTAACTGAGCAAGAGTTCGGCAAAATGGTTTATTTTTTGGCAGACATTATTGATTATCTTGATGTTTCATCTGAAAACACGCATGTTGGGATGTCCCAGTTAGGCACCCTTCACCAGGAAATAATCCAACTGAATGATACCTTGGATAAAAATGAGCGGAAAGCTAAAATTTTGGCTGCTTTAAAGCGCAATGGAAGTCCTCGGCTAGAAGTTGCACTTCGCCACATGAAGGACACGTTTGTTTCTGGGAGCAGGCTCGTGGCTGGGGTCCCTCAGATACTGTTTGTTGTTCTATCTGGGCAGCCAAAGGGAAGCGTGGCTATGGTGACTGAGGCTGTGGCAAAATTGAGAGAGCTTGGCGTGTGTATCATAGCCTTGGGGATTGGGAATGTTCGAAATGATGAATTTCTCCATATCACCCACAATCCTGAGAAGATCATCACAGTGTCTGATTTTGATAACTTGAAGAAAGTAGAGGTGAAAAAAAGGGTCGCCCGGGAAATCTGTCGCAACTGTCAGCAAAAGAGTAAGTGTCTCCCTTTCCCACTGCCTTTTGCAGTCTTACTGGACATCTTGCCAGTCTCCAATTCTTTGACGGCATTGCATGGCTTCCCCCTTCCCCACTTCTTAGAAAACTTGTCACTAGCAGGTTATGCTCTGGGAGAGGGGCAAGGAGGTAGTTGACCTGTTCAAAACTATGGTAGAGGCACTGAGCTGTCATCAATCAGCACCTTTGTACCAATACCCTTGGCACAGAGGTAGGGTGGGTTCAGGGACAGAGGGGAAGACTAGTTTTCCACTTCATGTACTCATACGCGTCAATCCTTATACCCAGAGCCAGGTAGGTGGCATAGCAGATGGAGATTTGGACCTAGAATTAGGGAGAGATTTGAGTTCAAATTCTATTATTTTTGTAAATTGAGAAGGTTGCAGAAGTCCCAAATGTCTTGGATACTTTTAGAAAAAGAAATCCATAATTCTGTAATTGGCTAATTCTCCCCTTCCTTCCTATCCCTCCTATCCTTTCTTGGGTCTGTATATTAATGGGTGATTATTCTCCCCCTCTATCTCCAGGTTGCTTTGTGGATACTCTTGTGGGCTTTGACATCTCAACCCATCGGAGAGGGCAGACCTTGTTTGAGGGTCAACCACACCTTGAATCTTACCTTCCAGGCCTCCTAGAATCTATTAATTCCCTAAGAGGTGTGAGCTGTGGAAGAAAGACCCAAGTTAGTGTGGCATTTAAAGTGAACACTGATACCGGTTTTGAACCCAGGTTCCAAATCTATGCAGAAACAATGATGGAAACCCTGAGACAGGTCACAGTCAGTGGGCCGTCTCACCTTCAAGTGGCTGATCTAGAATCACTTTGGAGTGTATTTAATCACTCTGAAAATCATGGAAAGGTAACTACTATTTTCTGGGTCCAAAGTCTTGGTATTTTTTCCTCCCTCCCCTACTCCAGTTAGTTTTTAGTTGCCAAACCTTCCCCTTCTCCTGCTTCATCTCTCTCTAGGTGATACTCATTTTTTCTGATGGTCTCCAGCATGGGGCTAATGATCTCTGGAGGCTTGAAAAGAAATCAGATGAGCTCAGAGAACAAGGTAACTGATTGAAGAACGTAGCGGAATTTGTTCAATACCTTTCGACCTGCACTCCAAGGCTGCTCTGGATTTTGGCATTTGCTGAAATAGTAGCAAATCAGACGTTTAAAAATGTCCCACAGGCTTCCTTTTCCTGTCTTATGCAGCTCTGTTAGGGATGTACTAGAACTCTTCATGAAGGGAATTACAAGGAGTAAGTAATTGGTTTGATGATCCTACCTTTGTAGCACAAGGGATGGTCTTATTTTGGCTTAATTAAATCTTTGTGTTTGTTACGGAACTGTGCACATTCATGATTTCCCAGGAACCACATCTCTGGAGGGTTCAGTTCTGGCTTGAGGTTTTATTCATTAAAATAACATTGGTTTGGCTTGACTTGGGTTACTATTTGGGCAGTAGTAGGAATATTCTATGCTGGAATCCCTGGGGTCACTGTGGGCTTGCCAAATGGGAATCTTTTCCTAGTAGATCTGGTCCCTCTGTGCAGGTCTTGAAAGAAGGAAGGTCTAGAAATTTGTCATGAGATTTGGTCTCTGAAACTTCAGAACTCCCTCCCACCCCTAATCTAATGGTGAGCAGCTTACTTTCTTTATGAGTTCTTCAAGAGTCGCATGATGGAGATATACTAGAAGTAGAGGGAAAGTTATCCCTTATTTGATATTTGATACTATTATTTGACATAGCTTGAGAAATGCTAGCAAATCAATGAGAAAAGAAAAGGGGGTAAAGATGGGCAAAAAATAAAACAATCCCTATTTGCTAATGATCTGATGGTTGTTTTTTTTTTAAATACCCTAAGGAATCAGTGAAGAAACAGTGAGATTAATAGCTTTAACCAAGTTGCATTCTATGAAATAAACCCACAAAAGTGAACAGCCTTTTTATATAAGAATAACAAAATCCAAGAGGCAATAATAGGAAAGAAAATCTCATTCAAAATAAATTCAGAATGGATAAATTATCACAGAGTCAATCTACCGAAGCACACTCAACACTTGTATAAATTCAATCACAAAATGTTCCATGAAGAAATTAAAAAAACACACACACCATAAATAGCTGCAGGAAATTCAGCACTCATGACCGGACTGTGCCAATATAATAAAAATGGCCATATAAACAAAGTGCATTCCCTGGCTTCCTTTAAATTCCAATTAAAACCTCATCTTTTACAGAAAGCCTTTCCCAACCCTTCTTAATTCTAGTGCCTTCCCTCTCTTAATTCCCATTTATTCTCTTTGTGTGTGTGTGTGTGTGTGTGTGTGTACACACACTTATATAACACACACACACACACACACACACACACACACATATATATATGTATATGTATCCTGTATATAGCTTGTATGTACATATTTGTTTGCTTGTTGTCTCCCCTATTTGTGAGGGCAAGGACTCTTTTCCCTCTTTGTATCCCCAGCACTTAGCACAGCGCCTGGCACAGAGTAGACACTTAACGAATGTTTCTTGACTGAATGAATTACAGGTTTAACACTATACTAAACTATAAAAGAGATACTTTACAGAACTAGACAAATTAACAACAAAATTCATTTGTAGAACCTAGAATGTGGAAGGGGAAAATGTAGGTAGGAAAGGAAAAAAAGGTGGGAAGGATGCAGGGGAATAGACTATCAGACCTTGGACTATATTATAAAGTAGGATTCATCAGCTATTTGGAGATGGTTAAAAAACAGGAAAGTAGATTAATGAGACATATAAGAAAAGAGAGAATCAGAAGTAGTGGAGCTCAGTAACCTGGTGTTTGACAAATCTGAAAACATAGGAAAGAACTCACTATTTGATAAGAACAACTAGGAAAAGTGGAAAGCAATGTGGAAGAAAATTAGGCTTAGAGCAGCATCTTATACCACGTTCTACCTAGTGCGGTGCCTGGTATACAGTAAGAGCTTAAAAAAGACTTGTTGCGTGATTCATGGATTAGTAGACATGCATTAGTTGCTACTGCATAGGGTCTTGTTATGGGAAAGGCATCTAGTTAGTGGGGTGCTTTTTCATTTGGACCCACTCTTGTTTTGTCTCTGTTCTCTATCTTCATAAGGGCTGATGGGTTTGTTCGTTGTTGCCCTGAACACCACCTCTCATCATGATGACTTTTCAACTATGGAATTTGGAAAAGGATTTGACTACAGGACACATTTAAGCATTGGCATGAGAGACTTGAGTGGCACACTGACCAAGTACCTGGTGAGTTACTTTGGTTATCCAAAGTTAAGATGATTTAACCGTTTCTATTAGGAGTGGCGAGGGATTGCCTTTTATTGGCTTTGGTTAAATGAGTGCCCAGTTGTCGCTCTGATGCCCCACAGTGAGTGGAGAGCCTTTGGGGACCTGAATACCTTTTTTCCTTTCAACATTTCTTTCTTGGTAGCACCACAGTAAGCTACTCAAAGGCATATAGGATGACAAAGTAAAGCAAAAGTTTGCGCTATCAAACCACACGAAAATGAAGTGTTCCTAACCATTCTTCCCATTTGACCAAGGTCTCAGGAGCCATTTTGGTAGATAAGAGGGTATCATTCAGTCGATAAGCATTGGTGTCCGGAACTGTGCTAAGCACTGGATTACAAAGAAAGGCAGAAACAAACCTTGCCCTCAAGCAGTTTGCATTCAAATGGGGGGAGGCAACATAGAAAATAACTAAGTACATACAAGATAGAGACAGTGGCTGGTAGTCACCGACATTGCCCCTTCCCTATGGGGACAAGTCAATACTTCTTCCCCAGAGCAAACTCCTGCCATCTTCAGTGTCATCACTTCCAGCCCTTAATGATCTTCTCACCTGGAGGTTTCAACTGGGGTGGGGGAGAAGTGGTTCTTCTGATGATAAAGTTTCCCTGATGTAAAAAAATGGATACTTTTTTTGCTTTCTATGCACAAAGGTTTCCTCAAGTCTTGTGGGTGTGAAAGGAATCACAGAATCAGTAGTAAGCTTGCTAGACCAGTTCTCCATGCATGGAGGGAGTTCCAGGACCCCCCATGGTGAAGGGTCATGTTTGGTGCTCAAGGATGGTGAGCAGAGTTGAAGGGCTGCTTCAAGAGAAGGGCCGCTTCAAGAGACAGGATGATCATTGGGAGGGTTGGTAAAGATTGGGAATAGTCAGCAATGCCTTCCCGTCATTGTGAGTCAATCTCTCAACAAACATTTATTAAGCCCTACTGTGTGCCAGACACTCTGCTAAGCACCGGGGGATACAGAGAAAGGCAAAAACAGTCCCTGTCCTCAAGGAGCTCACAGTCTAAGGAGACAACATGCAAACAAGTTCATAAAAATGAACACAGGGCAAATTGGAGATAATCAACGGAGGGAAGGCAGGAGCAGTAAGGGGAATGGGGAAAGGCTTTCCATAGAAGCTGAGACTGGAAGGAAGCCGGGGAAGCCAGGCAGCAATGAAGGAGTAGAATATTGCGGGCATGGGGAACAGCCATTGAAAATACCCAGTCTCTGAAGATGGAGGGTCTTGTTCAAGGAACAGCAGTGAGGCCAGGGTCACTAGACTGGTGAGTCTATAACAGTGAGTAAGGTACAAGAAGACTGGAAAGGTAGGAGGGGGCCAGGATGTATTTTTTTTTTTGTATGCATCTTGTGTTTATGTAACTGTGAATGTGTTTCATTGTCACAGTAGCTCGTAAACTGTTAGGGGAGAAGTACTATCTCATTCTGTTTTTATGTTCCTAGGGTCTAGTGGACTAGGGGACACTGGTAAGCGGCATTTAATGAAGACTCATTTGGTTTGATTCCGTTTGGGACTTTGAAAACAGTACTTGGACAATGCTTTTTTTTGGGGGGGGGGGAAAGGTTGTCTTTTTTTTTTTTAAGAGGCAACTAGGTGGTTTGATGGACCTAGAGTTAGGAAGGTCTGAATTCAAATTTGACCTCAGACACTTATTAACTGTGTGACCCCGGGTAAGTCACTTAACTTCTGTTTGCCTCAGCTTCTGCAACTGTAAAATGGGGATAAATTACAGCATCCCTTTCCCAGGGTGGTTGTGAAGATCAAATGAGATAATATTTGTAAGGCTCCTAGAACGGTGCTTGGCAGGCAGTAGGTGCTTTATAAATGTTTATTCCCTTCCCTTTCTGGAAGAAAGATGCTCACTCACTTTCTCTCCTCTCTAGGACAATATTGCAGAAAGACATTGCTGCTGTGCCCTTTGCAAATGTTCAGGGGCTCCAGGGGCTCCAGGATCACCAGGATCGAGAGGCGCAAAGGTACATCTAGAATCTTGATTTTGTCTTGATCGGGTCTGCCTGTTACCACGTTCTGGTTGCCTTTCTCTGCGGATGTGGGTGGTGTATCAGGAGTGCTATGGGGCACAACCGACTTCTGCTGTAATTGTTGTGATTGGCTGATTCTCCAATCCCACAGCCAGTGATTTTCAGGTAGAACTGGAGTCTCAGAGCACTCTGTCTGAGGCCAAGACCTCCAATGTTTTGGTGACTCTGTGGAGAGCCTGCAACCCCCAAAGCCCTTGCAGACCAACAGAGCCCTTCAGTAAGGCCCCACTCCTCAGGGGCTTTTTTTTTTTTTACAAGTCTGGAAGCCTCAGTGTGAATAATGACTTTTCTACTTACTGCCCCTATGGCCCTAGGCAAATCACTTGACTTCACTGGGCCTTAGGCAATTGTCTGAGGTATCTCTAGTTTATTATAGACTTTTTAAAATTTTGGTTTTTTTCAATTAAGAATTTGTTTTTTCTCTTTCCCACCTTCTGCCTAACCCTTCTCCTCTCTGCTTTGAAAAGACAAAAGAAAATCCTTATTTATAGCAGCTTTCCAGTAGTGGCAAGGACCCGGAAACCAAGGGAGTGCCCAGTGATTGGGCAATGGCTGAAATGATTATGGTATGGAAATGCAAGGCAATATTATGGCACAATAAGAAATGATGAAAAGGATGGATTCTGAGACCTGGAAAGTCTTGTACTAATTTATAGACAGGTGGGAAGAGGTATTTCCCTTCCCTTTTATGTCTAATCACATTGTTTAATATCTGAGTTCTCATTGTCTTAGATCTCAAGTCAAGAAGAAATAAAAGTAATAAAAGCAATCCCTCCGCAGAGGTCACTCATCTAGCTTGACCAAAGAAGTTCTTAGAGGGGCCGATCAGGTGGGGCAGTGTCACATTCTTAGCCCTCCAATTTCCCCTGAAGCTCCTATAATGAAAATGAGTGGCCTGGAAGCGGAACCAGGCCAACATAGGATTTAGAGCAAAAAGGGCTTGTAGGCATCATCTAGTGCGGGGGTCCTTACCTTTTTGCGTGTCATTGACCTCCTAGTCAGGGGTGGGGAACCTGCAGCCTTGAGGCCACACGTGGCCCTCTAGGTCCTCAAGTGTGGCCCTTTGACTGAATCTTGGATTCGAATTTGGATTTGGTCAAAGGGCTGCACTTGAGGATCTAGAGGCCCACAGGCTCCCCACCCTTGCCCTAGGCAGTTTGGTGAGGCTTATTCACCCCTTCTCTGAATGATGTTTTTAAATAAGTAAAGGAAATGCTAAATTTCAGTTAGAGGTTAGTTAAAAAAAAAGATGTAAATTTTTTTCCCATCCATGTTCACAGATCCCCCTAAAATTTGGTTAAGATCCAATCTAAGGGCATCTAGGTGGTTCATTGAATGGAGCACCTAAGTCAGGAGGACCTGAGTTCAAATCCAGCTTCAGACATACTTACTAGCTGTGTGACTGTGGACAGGTCACTTAACCGCTATAATCTAGTCCTTGATTTTTCAGGAAAAAAAAAAGAATTGTGGTTAAGTGACGTTGCTCAACGTCACACAAGTAATAAGTAACAAACTTGGATCTGAGCTGGTGTTGTCTGACCTAAAGTAACAGCCTGCATTTCTATGTTGCTTTTAGACTAGGAATGTGCTTCTTGTATGTCCTTTCCCTTTGTGCTCCATCCTACATGGCAATGACAGCCGTAAATGAGCTCAAAGATTTCATCTTCTTAAAGGGGGATGGGCTGCCTAGTCCGGGCCTCAGGGCCAGCCCACTGAAGAGGCTAGATCGAGGAATTTGACTCAAAGTCCTAATGATTTCATAGGTTCAGCTCAATGGTGATGGCTGAAGTACTGTTGCTCTCGTTTCTTCTTCCACAGGGATTTTGGGGTCAGAAGGGCAGCCGAGGGCACACAGGAGAAGAGGGAGAACCCGTGAGTCATTACTGCTCCTCAGTGATTGCTTCCTTCTCCCTCAGGAAAGACTTTGGCCTTCCAGGAGGGGGTACGGGGTGAACACCTGTGGCAAAGCCAGCTGGCTTCCGTGTACTCATTGGGCTGCCTGGAGCTCCTTCTTGGCCCAGGCCTCCTCCCCCAGCACTAGCCTCTTGGTATCTCAAGGTGTCTGACAGTTATGGAGCTACCATGTCCTTCTACTTGCAAAGTTATATTCTACCCATTTGTGCCTTAGCCCCTTCAGGCTCTCCGTGGTGTTCATTTTAACCCTATTTCACCCATATAAATATATTTTCATGGAAATGAGAGGGACAGAGTTGGGGGTAAGGGAGAATGTATATAGTCCCAACCCCACATATTCTCTGAGGTGGCTTTGACCACATCTGAATGCTCCTCACTTGGAAGTCTTTTCCATGGTCCATGTTGCTAAATAATTCTCAATTAGCAATCTCTGCTCTGTAGAAACCCCCCCTGCTCCCACGTGGACCAGCTTCTTGTATCAGCCACAGTCACTCCTTTGGATAAACATGATTGATCCTGGCAAGGGTTGCCCTATAGCCCCTGCAGAGCCCTGGGAGGATAGGCACAAGATGAAATGGTTCTAGATCTTGGGTCACAGTTTCATGGCAAGTGCCCAAGCGTCCCTTTGCATTCTTTGATGGTATTTCTGAGGCAGCATGGGGTGGTGGATAGAGAGCCAGTCTTGAAGTCAAGATGACCTGGGTTCAAATCCTGCCTCTCACACACACTGGCTGTGACCTTGGGCTAATCACCTAACCACTCAGTGCTCAACCCAACTGTTCAACACTATAAATTGTAGAGAAGGTCTTGCTTGACCTACCCTGGTTGAGGGAGTTTCCTCTCCTGGGAGTTCCCTAAACCCCTGAAATCACAGGTTCAGCCCCATCCCCATCGCTGGAGAGTTTCATTTACAGAGCAGGGCTTGGGGAGGAGGGGGGAGGCAAGAGGATGGGGTGGGGGAGAACTTCTGCACTAGCTTTACAAGTAGATGGCATCTGCCTGTGGATCTGCTACCTGAGGAGGGTTCCCCAATGCTCTGTTAATTCTTCTAAAAGTCAGTGGGCAGGTTTGTAGTAGAAGGTCAGCTTCATTTTAATGGATGGGCTTATCTAAATGTTTTTGGTTCCTTTTCTCAGGGGATACGAGGAAACAGTGGGCCAGAAGGAGAAAGAGGTGCTCAGGGATGTCAGGGTGATAGGGGCCTTAAGGTAAGAATCTGATGGAAGTATTATTTAAATCTCTCCCTCTCCCTTTCCCTCCCTCCCTCTCCCCACCTCCCCTTCTCTCTCTTCCTTCTTCTCCCTCTCCCTCCTCTCCCTTTCCCCTTCTCTCTCCCTCCCTTTCCCTCTCTCTGTCTCTTTCTCCTTCTCCCTCTCCCCCCTCCCCCCTCTCCCTTTCCTCCTCTCTCTCCCTCCCTTTCCCTCTCTCTGTCTCTTTCTCCTTCTCCCTCTCCCCCCTCTCCCTTTCTCCCTTTCTCTCCCTCCCTTTCCCTCTCTCTATCTCTGTCTCCTTCTCCCTCTCCCTCTCTGTCTCCCTCTCCCTTTCTCTCCCTCCCTCCCTCTTCCTCCTTCTTTGTCTTCATCACAGCTCATCTCCTTCTTGACTCTTTCAAGTCCATATCCATCTTAGGGTCTCTACAGAGTAACAGTCTGTAAAACTCTAAGACATCTTAGTTCAGCAATATCATCTATTTTAGGCCTCATCTATAAAATGAGTGGGTTCTAAAATCCTTTGCCTCTCTATTTTCCATCTGTATCTATAAATGACTAATGTATAATCTCTTTCAGGGAGTCAGAGGAATGGATGGATTTGAGGTACAGTGAAATTTTCCTTCTAAATTTGATTCCTTTGTTTGTATATTTGTTCCCAAGAATGTTCTGTCAGTTACGGTCACAAACCACTTTGTTAAAGAATATAGAGAGGGGGCAGTTAGGTGGCTCAGTGGATAGAGCTCTGGCCTTGGAGTCAGGAGGACCTGAGTTTAAATCCAGCCTCAGACACTTGACACTTACTACCTGTGTGACCCTGGGCGAGTCACTTAACCCTGATTGCCTCACCAAAAAAAAAAAAAAAAAAGAATATAGAGAGAATGACTTCTGATGCTAACTTCTTGTTTCTTTTTTGATCGATCAGGGAGAAGAAGGAGATTATGGAATTGATGGGATAAATGGAGAAGAGGTAATTTTCCCCTGCATCAAGTAGTCAATAGTCAACAATCAATGAATACTTTTTAAGTGCCTATTATGTGCCAGGCACTGTACTAAGTGCTAGAGATAAAGGTAGTAAAAAAGATAGTCTCTGCCCTCAAGGAGCTTATAGTCTTTTTTTTTCCAAAATATTTAAATTTATTTTGTTAAATATTTACCAATTTTACATGTAAATAAATTTTTAACATTGATAGTTTAAAATTTTGAGTTCTAAATTCTCTCCCTTTCTCCCAGCCGTCCCCCAATTCTTGAGAAGGCAAGCAACTTGATATCACTTATGTATGTTAGTCATGCAAAACATATTTCCATATTAGCCATGTTGCGAAAGAAAACACAGACCAAAAAAAGGAGAAAAATAAAGAAAGTTGAAAAAGTATGCTTCAGCTTGCATTCAGATTTCATCAGTTTGATGCTGAGTGAAGTGAGCAGAACCAGGAGAATGTTGTGCACAGTAACAGCCACATTGTGCGATGACTAATATTGATAAACTTAACCCTTCTCAGCAATACGAGGATCTAAGACATCTCCAAAGGCCTCATGATGGAAAATGCTATCCACATCTAAAGAAAGAACTATGGAGTTTGAATGCAGATCAAAGCATATTATTTGCTCTTTATTTTTCTTCTGTTGAGTTTTGTTTCCTCTTTCTGGTGGTTCCTCCTGTTGGTTCTAATTCTTACTTAGAACATCACTAATATGAAAATATGTTTAATAGGAATGTATATGAATAGCCTATATCAGATTGCACGCCCTTTTGGGAAGGGAGGTGGGGAGGGAGGGGGAGAAAAATTTAAAATTCAAAAGCTTATGGAAGTGATTATTGATAAGTCAAAATAAATTAATTAAAAAAAGTAAACACAGAGTTCATCAGTTCTCTCTCTGGAGGTGGAGAGCATTTTTCGTCATGGGTCCTTTGGAATTGTCTTGTATAGTTGTCATGATCAGAATAGCTAAGTCACTCAGTTAATTATCATACAATATTGCTGTTACTGTGTACAATGTTCTCCTGGTTCTGCTTACTTCACTTTGTACCAATTCACGTAAGTCTTCCCATGTTTTTCTGAAACCATCTCATTCTGTCACAATTAGACACCACAATTTGTCCAGCGATTCCCCAGTTGATGAACATCCCCTGATTTCCAATTCTTTGCCACCACAAAAAGACGTTATCAATATTTTTCTACAAACAGTTCCTTTTCCTTTTTCTTTAATCTCTTTGGGATACAGACCTTATTGCTGAGTCAAAGGGTATGCAGTTCTATAGCCCTTTGAGCATAGCTCCAAATTATTCTCTAGAATGGTTGGACCAGTTTACAACAAAGAGCTTTCAGTCAAATAGAGGAAGACAGTATACAAGAGGAAGCTGAAGAGAGGAGGATGCTGCCAGAGGTGGGGGTGGTGATGTTCATAGAGGTGAAAGGAGGAAGAGCAACTGATGGGAAATGAAGTTAACCAGAACATTCGGAGCCCTCTACAAGGGAGGTTTGGCAAAGCATCGATTGCTTCACCCTCCAGCCCTCCAGGCAGAGGAGAGAGGTAGCTGAGGAGGTGTTGAGTGCCAAAGCACAATCGGTCTCCATGAAGATGACACTTCAGACAATGAGCCCAGCGCTTCAGCATTAGCTGGGTAATATAAAAAGAAGAAAAAAAAACACATTCCCTTTTCTTTTCTGTTTTCAGGGCTTCCATGGAACTTTTGGGAAGAAGGGGGAGAAAGGTGACCCAGGATCCCAGGTAAAGTTTGCTAACAACTACAAGAAGTCAGGGCACTGTGGTGTCATGGACAGAACACTGGACTCAGGGTCAGAAAGACCCAGATTCAAATCCCGTCCCTTACTCTTACTAGCTATATGTTGGAGGGCAAGTCATGTAGTATCTGAGCCTCACTCTCTTCATCTGCAAAATGAGGATATTATCATCTATAGTGAAAGGCAATATGTTATAGTAGACACAGAGCTAACCTTGCAGGCAGGAAGACCTGGGTTCTTGTTCTGCCTCAGTCACATACTTACATTTGACCTCTCATGTCTCAGGCACTCTGCATTGCAGGACGGGTACCCATCTCCGTTGGTGGAGGGAGTTTCCTCACTGGGAGATCCCTTTGTCAATGAAATCACAGTTCCAGTTATTTGTTCGTTTTAATGTTGTGAAGCTCAAATGAGATAATATATAGAAAGCACTTTGAAACTTGAAGGTGCTATAGACATCAGTTATTATTTACTGATATGCATATATTTATTTATAATGCATGGGTATCCTTAAATGTTTATGTCACAGGTGATTATCACTATGATAAAACAATGAATGTGTTTCTTCCTATGGCTTTAAAGTATGTCACAGCTCCAAAGTGGGATGAGAATACTTAAGATAGAAGTATCTAAAGAACTCAGTGGTATTTGGTGGGTGTCTACAGTCCTCCCGTGCCTCACAGGTTGGAAGATTACCACCAATATCCCTTCATAAAAAAGGAAATAATCAGGGGATAAAAAGACTAACTTGAATAAAGCTTGGTTTGTGACATACGGAAATTGTTGAAAGACAATAGACACTAGATGAAATGGACCTTCTGCCATTTCTGATCTTCTAATTTCATCATCCATGGTGGTAGAAGTGCCGTATTTGCATTCCACCATTTCAGTTCCCAATATATGATGGAAGGCACTGAAAATGGCACTTAAGGTAAAAATGGCTAGACCAGACCACACACTTACAGAAGAAATCAGTATGGGCAGTGGAATAATTTTAAAGATACTTGTAGATCAACTTTTAATATCTCTCAAAGAGAGGACTATTCCAAAAGAATGGAAAAGATTATAGAAGATATTATTACCCTCCCCCAAAAGAGGGAATTTGGAAGACACCCCTATTCTACTTTCTAGTTTCTAGAAGGACTTTATGAGAATCGTCTGTACAGAAAGTGAGGATATCCTTAACAAATATATGAGAAGACAATAGGCAGGCTTTATGGGTGATTTTCTATAACAGACCAAATTTGCATGGTCACACATTTGAGAAGTATAAAAAATATAGAGTCCCCCTGTGTTTATTATAATTTATTTATTACAAACAAACATTTGACTTGGTAGAGCAACATATGGCCTTAAAGTCTCCCTTCCAACAACCTGCTTCCCATGTATGTTAAGATTATCCGTGATTCTATTCTAAGTGCAATTATAGAGATGACCTTGTTCAATTATTCTTTAAATATTGACTTCAAATAAGGCAGAAAACTGGGTGTCATATGTTCACCAAAGGTGCCTAGAGAAGAGTAAATCCATACAAATGGTGAGGTTCTGCAGATGCCCTGTTTTATAGATGGCTTCATGCTGATCATATCAATCCCTGGAACAGAATATGACCTGTTCAATGAGATCCATGGTCCCCCAAAAGCAATTAACCTAGCAATCTACCCTAGGAAAAAAACCAAGTGAATGCAGAGTACATATTGTCCAGATTATATGCTGTTTTAAGGGTAGTTTGTTGAGTTAGACAATTGGTATGTGTGTCTTGGACAGGCATTGCAGATGGACAGTAAGGAGGAGATGGGCTACACCATCAGCTAAATTATGTAGTGTTTTCAATGATTCCAAGCTTCACCTTTTTACAACCCCCCCCTCTTTAAAAACCAATAATCTCCTGATGTACGGCCCACAACCTTGAGGAGATTGTGGTATTCCACAATCTGCAGTCACCAAGAGTCACTAAAAAATTTAAAAAAAATTGATGTTTTCTTTAAATAAGTATTTGTTTGAGGGATAAAGACAATGGAAAGATACATTACTGTCATAATTTGACTATATAATGTTAGCAATAAAGAATTATAGACCAAAATCAATATAAAGTATGTCAGGGAGATATATAACCTAAAAAGGAAGTGGGATGGTCATATAGAAGAGTGGGAAATAATAGGTAGACAGCTCATATTCTCTTTTGAGACCCCAGTAATGTCAAGAAACTGGGAGGGAAACCCACCTACCACCTAGCATGTTGAGTGGACCACACCCAGAGGATATAAAGGAGGAGGATGTGAATAAGAGTGAGGAGGCCTCTATAAGATACACCATCTGTGAGATCAAAAATGTATTGAAGTAGGCTCACCATAGTTGCCAATTAGATAATACCATAATCATAGAAGAATCAAACTATAGATGTCCTACAGGACAATGGCAAGATGCAAGATGAAGCTTCCTTTTCTTTCTGTATCAGAACTAATTGGTTTGAGGACAGGGACGGCATCTTCTTTATTTTCAGGTCTTCCCCACAATGCATTGCATGTAACAGGGTTTTTAAAATATTTGCTAAAAGGAGAAGCAAATCTCATGTCAGGGTAAGGTACAAAAGACATCCACCTCAGCAAATACTACCCTCTTTGTGAACATTTTTTCACCTTGTATCTTTTCCATTTTTAATTTCTCCATATTATGATACTGGAAATTAATTCAAATTTCTCAACTACCAGGCAAACTGACCCTGAAAACTTACCGCAGACTGTTAAAGCCTCAGGGAACCTGGTTCTAATGTTTAGCACAGTGCCTGGCACATAGTAGGCATTTCATGTATGACAGAATAATTGATTGAGGTAATGGTGATTTGGAAAGCTAGTTTTCCTTTTCACATAGGATTTGTTGGCATTTAATGTTCTTTAGGGCAAAAACTGCTATAAGATAAAGTTATATGTCATCCTAAAAGTCACCTATATTCTCACTCAGAACTTTCTTGTTTTCAGGGAAGTCTGGGTACCAGAGGCCCCCCTGGTGTCCATGGCGGAAAGGGATTTCCGGGAGATCCTGTAAGTTTCAGGGGCTAAGATGACTCTGTATTGTACAGTTGGGACTCACATTCCATTTCAATACCCAATATGGATCAATGAATATTGATAAATGAACTTTGGAAAGAGCCCAGTTAAGTCTTAGAGACGCTAATGAAAATAGTATCTTTTCTGAGATCTGCTATGGGAGGGAGATTAGCATGTCAGACATAGTTATGCTGAACACAGACCTGGAAACCCATTACATTGAAATGATACCATTGTCTGTGATAAAAAGCATCATCAGTTGTGCTATGGATACTGGGAAATCGGGATATGGCCCTTTTCCTTTCTCTATCAAAACTGGCTGGAGAATTGGCTAAAATTGGGCCTTTAGGAATTTGTTACCAGAAAGTGTTCCCTGTTTTCTTTAGTGTGTTTTCTTAGCCTGAGAGTTTAGAAGCTTATCTACTTTTCTTCCCATGTAGCTTATTACTCAATAATGACTGTTGGGTTTATTTTTAATGAGGGAAAGTATGAGTATACTTGGTCTTAAACTTCCTTTATTCAAAATTATAACTAGGAATTCTAGTACCCAGGGACATTTTAGTTTTACAGGGAGGGGGATGGTCTAAAGTATGGCCAAACCTACATTAGGTGGGGATATGATGGAGACAAAGGCCAAAGAAGCAGAGAAGGTTGAAGAACTGGAAGGCCAAGGTGTTTGAAGGGGACTGGGGTTGAGGTAGAGAAGACAGTGAGTCAGTTACTGAACTTGTCAGCAAAGAAGGAGAGGGAACTGGAGGTCCATTAATGACAGTACCAAGTATCTAAACAGGGTGGCACCATCTTTAAAGGAGCAGAAAGATGACTGAAGGTTGATGGTGTCAGAAAGTGGCCATGGCACCAACATTTTGTCTTGGTGGTATGGAAAAAGAACAACCACTCATAGAGATAGTGCCCAGAGATGTGGGGCCTTAAGAAGAAGATAGTTTTCAGGGAGCACCAGAAGTTGGAAACCATAGGAAGGGAAGACCAGAGTGAAAGGAAGTTTGTCAACAATAGAAGAGGGTTCCAGAAAGCACAATGGAGGGAAGGCAAAAGAATTATGGGGACAAGGGAGGGGTAGAGCTGAGTTTATACTCAGTATGAGAGGTGACAGCTGCCTTTGCCACCAATTACCCTGCTGATCCCAGGAAAGGGCCATATTGGTCATAGGACCCTAGGGAATGGCAAATGGAGACACTAAGGAAAGGCAGTCCAGGATCGAGGGAAGGAAATGGGCTAGTCTAGCAACTCCGTGGGGTAGAGGGAGAGGAGAGGAAGCTTGTGTTCCATGGTGACATCTGGGGCAAAGTCCTGAAGAACTCATACTATTTCTATCTCTGCTCTCATCTCTTCTTAGGGTGAACCTGGAAATGACAATTTCTCCAGAGGGCCTAAGGGAGCCAAAGGAGAGCAAGGAAGACAAGTAATATCATAGATTGTACTTTTCCCACAGTGATTCATTTGACTTGAAAATTATCACATGACTTAAACAGAAATGAATACATGTATCTGTCTTTACAGAAGCACAAAAATCATCCTGAAAAGTTGTAGGTGAAAATTTTGTTAGAAATCAAGTTAAATTTAATTGCCCCTGTGGAGCTGAGTATTTAAAGGAAATCTGTTAAGCAATATCTCTCTATCTTTTATAAATACATATTATATTGGGGCAAGCGGGTGGTATAGTGAATAGAGCACAGGTCTGAGGAGTCAGGAAGATCTGAGTTTAAAACCTGACTTGCCTGGGACAAGTCATTTCATCTCCTATTCTCAGTTTTCTCATCTATAAAATGGGAATAATAATAGCACCCAAAGTATAGCGTTTTTGTAAGGCTTGAATGAGATAATATGGTTATCCCTTCCACATCATGGGAGTTAGGTGTGCAGTGCCCCCAGGATCTGGAAAAATCCAAGTAAAATTTTTTGGCCCTCCCTTCATACCAAAGAAGAAGTCTGATTTTTTTCTTTTTCTCTTAGGGGGTGTTTATAGTACCTTCTTGTAAAATTTGGGCTGTGTTTGGTCACAGACTCTGTGTCATCTGTTGACCTTCCTACATCATCTGTAGTTTCCACAAAACTCCCCCAAAATTCTCATTTAATTTCTTATGTTGACCCACCATATATTGAAACCACGATGGGGAAAGTCATCATGTGGAAGGGACAACTGTATACATAAAGCACTTAACTGCAAAGTGCTATTTAATATAGGTAATATATTACATGTATATATGTGTATTCTTTTTACATATTTGTTTATATTTATTAATGTTTTTATTTCTCTGTATATATGTATTGTAACACTATATGTAAAGTACTTTGCAAAGCTTAAAGTGCTATTCAAATGTTAGCTATTATTATTAATGTTTCTGATTTCCTTAAATTCTGAATAGACACTTGGAGAAGAAACTGTTAAGTTTCTGTCCAGGATAGTCTATGAGAAGCCATACAGACCACGTTTTCAGGATTCCTTGGAAAGCTCTGAAATCAGAGGACCTGGGTTCAAATCCTGCTTTACTCCCTGTATGCCCTTGAAGAAATCATGTTATCTCCTTGCGCCCCAGCTTCCTTATCTCTAAAATGAGAAGGTTGGCCTAGTCAGTTTCTCAAGTTCCTTTCTTCTCTAAATCTATTATTCTATGATCTTTATGAACACTTGTTTGGTAGATGCAATATGCAGAAGAATTCTAGAATGTGGGACTTTGAAGTTGGGGGAAAGCATGATTGATTTTGAGCATCTGAGCCTGTTATTCTGAACACCCTATTTCATTTCTAGGGTCGAAGAGGGCAGAAAGGCACAGACGGCGAGCCCAACTCGAGAGGAGACATAGTAAGAGGGGCCGTGGGCACATTCTAAGCTTCTTTGTCTTGGTATAGCTGTTGTAGCTTAATCCAAAATAGAGAGTTAGGGGATCCGTGACCCAAAGCATTCTTTCTAGCATCTAGGAAAGATGTTGCTGGGTAAATCTGAAGAGATTTGGAATAAATGTAGGTTTTCTAAAAGTTCCTTCTGTGCTGGCCAGATGTACTTTGACTTTTTTAAGTTCACAAAATTCCTACAAAATGAGTAAAAGTTTCTACTCCTCTTTACTCACCCACCTCCTTCTCCACCCCCCACCTTTTGGCAGATGGAAGAAAAACAAATCAGGGGAGATTTGAAAGGATCAGAACAAGCTGGTGACAGTGATAAATAGCCCTATGTAATCCTGTTGTGCTATACTTGGTAGCAAGCCTAGCACAAGTTTGGGTTGGGGGAGGAAAATCAGGAATTTTATTTTGATTTGTTTGTTTTTTAAGAGAGAATAACAGGGTTGACAAATGACCTTATTGTTTGGTGACTATGTCCTTAGTGAAGTTAGAGCTGACCATTTAGAATAGTTGAAAGTGTTTCTAAGATCCAGAGATTGTGAAAGGAGAAAATCATGTGTTCTTCATTAGCAATGTCCAAAGGACAGGCAAAGGCTTCCATCTTTGGCTTGGCCCTTTGGTTCAACGGAGGGAATGAGGCTGCTTGGCTCGGTTATCAATGACAAATTTTGGCACCCTTTCTTAGTGACTCTGCTGGACTCCCTACTCCAGAGGGAAATGAACAGGAATAAATGGAACAGAGTTCTGGTTAAGTTCTTATCGACCATGTTTATCTTGAATCATAATTCTCAAGAGAAAAAGCATGCAATCATCTTAGTGAGGCTTCTCTGCTGCTTCTGGTGAAATATCTTTGAATCTTTGCCATGTATTGTATGGGAAGAATGTAAATCTAATGAGAGAAAACGGAAATTGTCAGGGGAGGTGGGGATGGGAGAAAATGGGAAGCAAAGAGTCCTTGTTTAATGAAGATTCCAATGCCTATGGATATTCATTGGCCTAGGAGGAGAAAATGTTTTCATTTGAACCAATTTTGAGGTTGTCAAAGTCATTAGTGGGGTCTCTTCAAGCAGAATTTTTCAGAAGCTATGACAAGGGATAGGAGTTAGTACAGCTGGATCTTTTTCTACATTCCCATGGTGCCTCTCTTGTCTCTAGCTCTGGTTATCTATGCCCTGATCACCCCATTTCATTCTAATCCCTCCTTGTTAGTCTTATATCTTTTAGCTTCTAAGAGAAAAGCTCTCTCTGTTTCCTCCTTTAGGGTGATGGTGGTATCATGGAAAGAGTTCTAGATATGCAAGCAAAGGACCTAGATTCAAATTCTGGCTCTGACATTTACTTACATGTGTGCCTTTGGGCAAGTCACTTAACGTCACTGAACCTCTGACTTTCTAGCCTTCCACCTAGAAATCTATGATGCCTTCATTTTTTTTTTTAGTAATAGAGCACCAGACTTGGAATTATAAAGACCTAAGTTCCAATCATTCCTCATGCCAGAAAGAAGTATGACTCTGGCTAAGTCACCTAAGGACCTCTGGAACTTACCATCTGCCCTATCATTGGACCCTTAAAACTTTTGGGTTTTTCCATATGACCTGAAGCTGAACTTTCTTTCATGTGTTATCTTACCCAATTAAAGTATGAGTTGTTTTTGTTTTTAAAGTAGGGACTAGCTTGCCTTTGGGGGGCAGCTAGGTGGTACAATGGATAGGGAGACCTGAGTTCAAATCCAGATTCAGATACTTTCTGGGTGTCCCTAGGCAAACCCCTTTTTGCCTCAGTTTCCTCATCTGTCAAATGGGGATAATAATAGCACCTACCTCTTAGGGTTGTTGTGAGGATCAAATGAGATATATCTATAAAGCACTTAGCAAGTGCTTGGAACTTAGTAAGTGCTATATAAATGTTAGCTTGTTATTATTATTTGCTATCACCTTCTATGTGTATCTCCAGCATGTAGCAAAGTGCTTTAGTAAATCCTTTTTTACTCATTCATTCACTTAACCTCTCAGTCTCAGGTTCTGAGTCTATGAAATGGGGATGATAATGATGCTTGTAGTACATACCACAAAGGCTTTATGTGAAGCTCCAATGAGATAATGTGTATAAAGTGTTTTTCCAACTTCAAAACACTGCATTCCATTTGTTATTATTATGATTGCTATTATTTTCCGTATTTTTGGTGTGTGAATCATGTAAGGCAGATAAATCAGGGGAGTCTTTAGGTGAGGTTAGGTTTATAACGTCACTGACACAAACCAAAACATTATTGTTGCTGTGATTACTACATTGAGTGACTGAATATCACTTTAGATGGCATTATAATTATGCCCATTTAGATAAATTAGTGGTCCCACTGGACACAGTAATGGGTACCCCAATTTCGAGAGGACCCTGGACCTTGGAGAAGCAAATCCTCCTGTTCTTGCTTTCCTCACAGATGTCCAGGGAGCATCCTGGACAGAATCATGAAGTTGTGCCTTCAGTCTCTCCTTTCTGTACCCATTCTTCCGTCCTCTTGTGCCATACTGTTTCCCCCTTGCTAATGCCTGTACTCAAGGCAGCACGAGCTAGGCTCCTTTATACTGAGGTGTAGATGACTGATAAGGCTTAAATGTTGTCTCCTTTCCCAGAGGCGCTTTGCCATAATCCTCTCCATTCCTGCAGATCCTATATCCTTCACTTATTTCTCATCCTGTTTAATTTTTCTTTAAGTCCCCTTCTGGCTCTGAAATTCAATGATTGTACTTGAAATATTTCTAGGGATAGGAGGATCTGGATTTTTTTTCCCGCAATTTGGTTATTTTATGATTGACAAGTCAAATTGGAAAAGTCAAAATGGCCACTAGAGGGCGATGCTGAACCATCATGTCTGCTTAGGCCTTCAGCTCAGCTGTCAAGTCAGAGATGTGGGAGAAACTCCCTGGAATGAAGAATTGACTGAACCTTTGCTCTCTGATGAAAATGGTGGTGGCTTTTGTGAAGAAGCATGATTTTCCATTCTCCATCAGAAATTTCCAAAGCATAGCAGCAGGCTGAGAAAAAGCCCCAGTGGCCTTGGGTCTCATGATTTATCTCTCTCTCTCTCTCTCTCTCTCTCTCTCTCTCTCTCTCTCTGTCTCTCTGTCTCTCTCTCTGTCTCTCTCTCTCTCTCTCTCTCTCTCTCTCTCTCACACACACATACACCCAGAACAGGGGATCAGGAATAGGGTAGAGCCTTGGAACCCAAGTCATTCTGAGTTACAGCTGATGCCCCTGAGGAGGCCAGTGAGCTGAGAGAGCCCTATGGGTCTCTTCTGAGACAGGAGGGGAGAACCATGGGCCCCAGGGTCATTTGTTTCCTAGAGCAGCATCCCAGATAATTGGCAGTGGCTGTTAGATGCTGTCTGGATCTGTAATGACTTTTAGATTGGTTTGCAATCAATCCCCCAAATATTAGGATGTAATTAAGTGCCTGGTGTGGAAATTCTTACAGAAAAAGCACCTCAGGGAAACATCTTTGAGGATGTGTTCGTTATGCGTGTCAATCAGGCAAGTTTTCGAGCACCAGAGAGTTCGGATTTATTTTAAAGGGATTTTTTCATTGTCTTTTCTGTTTCAGGGACCAATAGGCCGAAGAGGGACCCATGGACCAAAGGTACATGTTGTGTATCACTTCCCCTTTATTGCGCATGTGAGGAAAGAGCCTTCCAGCATGCAGATGGTGGAGGGCATGAGCTGGTCCCAATTCATGGATGAATCTTGTTGAGAGACAATGTAGTTCACTGTGTTTATAGTCAAAGGACACAGGTTCAAGTCTCAGCTCTGCCACAAATGTGACGTTAGGAAAGTCACCTCACTACTCTGGGGTTCAATTTTCTTGTCTGTAAAGTAAATAGGTTTTGACTGACATTGGGGTAGTAAAAAGTGTAATGGATCTGAGCCCCACTACTTCCTTCCTTTGTAATCTTAGATAAGCAAATTTCCCTTTCTCTGCCTCAGTTTCCTCTTCTATGAAATGAGAGAGTTGGACACTAAATCCATAAACAAGCTATATACAGGATACATTAGAAATAATCTCAGAGGGAAGGCACTATGATGAAGACAGATTTTTGCAGAAAATGGGACTTTAGCTGAGATTAGAAGAAAGTCAGCAGGCAGAGATGAGGAAAACATTCATGGTTGTGAGATTGTCTTGCATGAGGCACAGTTAGGAGGCCAGAATATCTCGAGGGGAGACCTGCACATTAGGAAGATCACTTTGACAGTTTGGTGAAGGGAGGCCTGGAATAGGAGAAAGGTGAAGCAGGGAGACCAATTGGCAGACTATAGGAATCACTTAGGGATGAGATGAGAGCTTGCACTAGAGTGGTGCCAGTGTCGGAGGAGAGAAGGGGCCTATAAGAGACGTGCTACAAAAGCAGAAACAATAGAACTTGAGAGCTGATATGAGAGATACGGGAGTGAGAGAAAAGGAGGAGTTGAGGATGACACTGAGGCTGCCAGCCTGGGTAACTGAGACAATGGTGGTGCCCTCAACAGGGATAAGCAAGTTAAGAAGAGGGGAGGGTCTGGGTCTAGGAGGAAATTTTCCAAGGGGTATGTGACACAAAAAAGGTTAAGGACTCCTGGTTTAGATGGTCCTTGAGGTCTCTTCCAACTCTACATCCATGATCCAAAAAATGATTAATCTCTAAGGTGCCTTCTTGCTCTAAAATGGATGCTTCTCTGACCCAACCACTTACCTCTTTTTACAATTCCATGCACTGGTAGCAATCTGCCAGTCTCCTTTCTGCCCAGGTGGGAGTACTTGGGCAGGGTTCATTTAGGGTGAAGTCAACTGGATTTATAGGCAGAATCTGGCTCCATGTAAATATGCTAGATTAGGATTTTTTTAATGTGTATTTTGAATGGAAAATAAGAGGGAAAAATTCATCAACAGAATTATGGGGGAGGTGAAGTCCAGGACACTGAATTTCTTGGTGCTAGAAAAGAGAAGAGGGAATTTTAGCTTCAGACCCGTGCATTGGACTAGGTCCTCAGTATCAGTTTATCAGTAATATAAACATAGCAAGCTGTGTTTGAATTGGGCAGGTCTTCTGAAACACTACTGAAAAAAGTTAAGGAGAGAGATAAGGACAGTGTGGCCCAGGAGAAGGAGCTTATGTGGTGGAGCAAATCCAAGCTCTGAAACTGTTTCGACTCTGAACAAGTCATCTGAGTCTTCCGGGCCTCAGTTTCCTCAGCTGTAAAATTGAGCCATGCTAACAACTTCACAGTGTAGTAAGGGAAATGGTTTAGAAACCACAAAGGGCTACATCAGTGTGAGTGTTTATTGTGATTAGCATCCTGCCTTGGAGAAAACCTTAATGTTGAACATTTATCCCACAGGGCCTACGTGGGAACGTTGGCCCGAAGGGCGAAGACGGACCTGAAGGATTAAGAGGAACTGAGGTACTTTGGAATGTGTTGAGTACATTCCTGAATGAAGTAATAAATGCTTATAGACTAATGGTATTTCTGCATGTGTTGAAGACAAAATGAAAAAAGTCAGTTCATTCTTCTGATGTCCCCAGAAACCTACTTCCCCTATAATGGAAAGTGTTCTAAATTCAGTCCAAATCTTGGCCTTGACACTTATTAGCTGTGTGATCCTGGATAAGTTATCCAATGTCTCTGGGCCTCAGCTTCCCTTCAGTGTAAAATGAGGGAATTGGATTAGATCCATGATCCTACTGTTGGTATATAAAATGAGGGTATAAGGAAGGGAGATGAGATTGATTTTTTCCTGGTCTACCATTGTACTTGCCTCTGTTGCATTTTAGGCTCCTTGATGAATGAATGAATGAATAAATAAATGAATGAATGAAAAAGCACTTATTCATCATCCACTGTGTGCCAGGCTCAGTGTCATGGTCTGAGGCTACAAATACAAGCATACAATACAGTCCCTGCCTTTGAGGAGCTAACATTCTAACAGAGGAAGATAGTGTATAAAGGGAAGCCAGGGCCAGGGCAGGGATGTCAAAGGGAATGGTGGTTAGAGTGATGGGAAATTCATTGACAGTTCATTTCCAGAAATGGTAGTATTGATGAGTCCACATGGAACCTTTGTGTAGAAAAGGAGGCCCAACTAGATGCTTAGTGGGTCATCAAATCTGACCAACCAGTTGGTTTCTCCTGCCCAGGGCTCCAGGCCCAGGTTTCTACAAGATAAAGGTCTCAAAATTAATTTAATTAGGAATTTAAGCATTTGGAGGTTGTTCAACCAATCTGATCCTCTCCTCCCTAGCGAATGCCAGAATGTCGTTGGAGAAAAAAGTTGATAGGGTAACATATAAGGAAACCACAGACAAAGGAGAAATGTTGCCATAATAATATAAATGCCTCTCATAATAATATAAAGTTTTCAGTCTCTCCCTATGTTTTGGTTGCTACTCTATTGCCTAGAAACATGTTTAGGTCTCCTCTATTCTCAAACACTAAACTGATAGAAAAAGACTTGGACACTTACCCTCACCTCTTCCTCGTTACTCATTCCTCGTGTCCTTTTATTCTGACTTCTGACCCCATCATTCTCTTAAATCTGCTCTCAAAGATCAGTTGCCAGATCTACTGTCCCTTTCCCAAGTACCATCTTCCTCGGCCTCTCTGTAGCATTTGACATTGCTGACCACCCTCCCTTCCTCTATTCTCTCTCTTTCATTGACAAAATCTTCCTAACAATTAGAACTGTAGAAAAAATAGAATGAGCTGCTTTGGAAGATATTGGGTTTCCCCTCACTGGTGGTCTTTGGAGCAGAGCTTAGATGACAACTCATATGCCGTAGAGGTGATTTTTGTTCATGCATGGGTTGGGTTCATGCATGGCCTTTGAGACTCTGTGATTCTGTAACTCCATAATACCACTCTCTCCTTATTCCCCAAACTGAGTTGTTTCTCAGCATCCTTCACTGATTCCTCATCTTCCTCTTATCTCTTCAGTGTGGATATCTCCCCCATCCTCTATCTTTCTTTTCTCCCTCTAAATTTTATTCCTGGATAGTCTCACCTCCTTTCTTGGGTTTAATTATCACCAATATTTAAGTGACTCCTAAATCTGATTATCTAACCCTAAACTCCTCCCCAAGTTTTAGTCTTGCATTTCTGATTGCCTGATGGGCATCTCCATTTGGAGATGTTTCACCAGGGCCTCAAACCACACATGTCCAAAACTGGACCAATTATCTTCTTGCATAAACCTAACCTTCTTCCAGCTTCCTTATTTCTGTAAATGGGGCCCCCATCCTCTAAGTCAGCCAGATGAGAAACCTGGAGGTCATATTTGACCACCTTCTTCATCCTCTAAATTTCTTATGTTGCCAGCCCCTATTGACTCCACCTCACAGCAGAATTATGCATCGCAGTATTTGAGAGGTGGAAGGGAGCTCAGTTATCTATTCCACCCCACCACCAGAGGAATCTCCACTATATCATACTGGACACATGGTCACTCACCCTCTACATGAAGACTTCCAAAGAGGAAAGACCTACCATCTCTCTTAAGGGAAGCCATTCCACTTTTGAACAGTTCTAATTCATTCTTATGAAGTTTTTCCTGACATCAAGCCTAAACTGGCATTTTTGCCACTTCTGCCCATTGTACAGGTCCAGAACTTAGCACAATGCCTGGCACATAGTAGATAGTTACCAGATACTTATTGACTGGCTGGCTGTTTTCTCTGGCCAGACTGGATGAGTCTAATTCTTTTGCATGACAGTCCTTCAAATACTGGAACATAGCCTTCTCTTATCCAGCCTAAACATAATCTACTCCTTTAAATCATGCTCATATGTCATGGACCTGAGGCCTTTCACCATCCTCTGGATTTCCTCTGACTTTAATCAATGTCCTTCTTAAACTGTGGCTCCCACAAGTGAAGAGACCACTCCAGATGTTGTCTGGTGAGGCCAGAGAAAAGTAGAGAGCCATCACCTCCTTGTTCCTGGAAGTTATGGACCACCCTTCGTGCCATCCCAAGGGATTAGGTCATCATCACCTCACACATATGCTATGATACAGCCTCATAACTGGCTCTCTCAAGCCCAAGATCTCTCTTACTCATCTCACTTTCTACACAGCTCAAACTAATCTCCATGGGGTATGGGTCTGCTGAAACTACATTCCCAATCACATACCTTCAGTGGATCTCTGATTTCTTTTAAGATCTAATATAAACCACTTACCCTTCTATTTAAAGCCCTTCAAAGCCTAGCATCAACCTACCATTACCATTTCACACTCCTCCCCTTCACATCCTCTAGGTTCCTAGGTTGACTTAGTCCATCTTCTGTCTCTGTGCATTAGAACTAAGATGTAGTTGACACCAACTTTGCCCAATAAACCTTCCCACCCTGATCGTGGTCTTCACTTGGATTTATTGAACTGTACTTTTTCAATTCAGTTTTTAAAAAAAAATTATTACATGCTGACTTATGCCAAGTTCTCATGATAAAAAAAGGTAGTCTTTGTCCTGAGGGAACTCACACATGCAACCAGGAGACACCTATGCGGACAAATTGATTAAAGGTTATCTGGAGAGGGGGAGAACACAGGGAATGCTTCATAGAAGAGATACTTTACCTTTGGGGATGCCACCCAATGTTCAAGCTTTAGGGCTGTTTTTACCTTTGGAATATCAAGATGCCCTAGAAAGGCAGCAATGATACAAATGCCCAAATGGGATACCATCATTGGCTTGAGGTTTATATGCTGGCTCCTTTCTTTGAATTTCCCTGCACAGGTGTTTGTCAAATGAGTGGATGAGATGCTTCATTGGATACTCCAGACCATTGCTTTTCAATGTCAGGACAATTTTTTTAAAAAGGGTTTCTGGATGGAGTTTTGTGGTGGGGTTGGGGTATGCTTTTTGAAGAATCAAGCAAGAAAATACGCTTTTCACTTCTGCCTGTCATACTTCACTTGCTAAGAAGAAATACTTGCTGTGTTTTTTTGTGTCAAATGTCATAACCAGGGACAAATTGGAAATACTGGACAGAAGGGAGAAAAAGGAAGTCCTGGAAACAAAGGGCCTCAGGTAGGCAAGATGGCCTCACCTCATGTTGATGATATGCCAAGAATTGATTTTCTTCTTATTTAACATGTCATCAATTTTTGTGTAGTAAGGGCTTTAGCCTTACTCTCCAAGAGCCAGGGGGGCTACATCTGCCCCTAGGTTACCAGGGGTATCACTGGGGGGTTAGAGTGCATTTCCATAAGGCCATCAGCATTCAGGTATATCCCCCCCAATGCACTCCTATGGTTAGCCACCAATGATTAACACTCTAGTTCTGTTAAACCAATTCCAATGGTTAGCTTTGACAAAGGGATATTTACTTCACAGATATAACAACAGAAATACAGACACATCCCCATCATACCTCAGGGCCATATTCTCCTCTACATCAGTCTGTCTCTGGGGAAAGTAGGCTCAGACTGAGGACAGCTTTGGTCCCACCGAGTTTGTGCCCAATTGCAGCATTGCTGCTGGGATGAGTCTGGGTCTCAGCTCCCAGCTCTCACTGGCCTGGGTCCTAAAGGTCATTCTTCTCCTTGGAGACTTGATGTCAACCTGGTTGATGAGCCAGCCAAACCTAACAGAGATTCCCTTCTCAGACTTCTTGGTGACTCACTCTCCTGACCTTTCAAAGTTGACTGGACTATAGCCAAATCTCCTTTATCTACCAGCAGAACAGAGTGAGAAGCAAGAGCAGGGCCATGGACTATTGGTTTCATGCCTGCTGTAGGTGAGAGGGCACCTGGGGCATTGCCCCTACCCAGAGACCCTCAGCAGTTCATCTTCCTTCTCCAATGCTAGCAGGTCTGGAAAAGAGCCCACACCAAGAGATTGACCATAGGTAGCTCTTTGAAAGCCCCCTGATCCTAAACTACACAGGTAATCAATAAACCTTCTCTTCATACAGAGTGGACTGGACCCAGGTACAGAATGTCTATACATGCTCTAAGGCACTTCCATTACATATCATCATGCCTTCCTGGAAGCAGACCCTTGGCTTCTTTCACAGGAGAATTAGATCACATCTACCCTGCCCCTAAACACCTGGGCTACAGGTGTTCTGAGATACATTTAGCATGCCTTCAGAGAACACAAACCCAGTTTAACCTTAGCATAACTTTTGTAGAAATCCTACCACTTAATGTCAGTCATTCCAAAGTTGCATAGAAGAGGAGGCTTTAAAAAATTATATGTATATGTATATTATAATTATATATTTTATGCTATAATTAATTTATTATATTTATATGATGTATATATAAACATATCTATATATACACATGCATATATACATACGCACATGTAGATATACGTATACGTGTGTATATATATAAATAAACAGAGACAAAGAGAGACAGAGACACAGAGATGGAGGCAGAGAGAGTCTATATGGTATTTTCTTTTATCCACACCATTGCTATTTACCCTGGAATTGGTTGGTTGAAAGTTAGTTGTCTGTATGCAGGTTTATCTTGCTATGATCCTCTTGAGATGGGTTAGAAATGGGTGAGAATTAATCCCCCTTTACAGAGGGGTAAAAAGAGAAACAGGCCGTGTGTTGATTAACCAACAGGCAGGATTGGAACACAGGCCTTCTTTCTCATTAATGGCAAGGCCACCTTCTTCCCAGGTTCCTGATACCATCAGCCTCCTTCTAGTTCTTCCTTTGGGTCAAATGTCCCTCCACGGTAGCAATTTTCCCTCATTGGGTCTTTTCATTAGGTGGAACTAGTTCTTTTTGAAGGAGGCTTGTAAGTACTGTCTTAGTGCACAAACATAATGAAGGGAACAATTTCTAGTGGGGTTTCTAAAGCTTTCTTTTTCACAAATTTCTGTATCTCACCTGTCACTTCAGGGGTCTTCTGGATCAGCAGGGACTAAAGGGAGTCCTGGAAAACCTGGAACATTAGGAAGGAAGGTAGGTCTTATTTCTTTTATATTTGGAAGATGGTGTGGTGGCACACTGAGCTTGGGAAGACCTGGGTTTGAATCCTGGTGCTGATCTTTACTAGCTGTGTGACCCTGGGCAAGTCACCTTCTCAGCCTCAGTTTCATCATCTCATAGAATTATTATAAGAATTAATTTATAGATGAGGAAATTCAAGTTTGGAGAGTGACTCCCTTGGATGGCCAGACTGGTTAGGGCTAGAGTTGGAACAAGATGCCCAGGTCTCCTCTTTCCATGCCTCTTCTGAAGTAATGGTGTGAGTTCCAAGAAGCTTCTCCTGGGGTTGCCAAATTCTCTTTTTCCTCCTATTTTTTAATACTCAGAACAGCAATATTTATGTGTTATAAGAGACCAGTACACATGCCCTGTAGGTGTTAGAGAGAAACCTTCTGCACCATCTATGACGATCCTTTTGTCAAGACCTCCCAATGCTAGCTAGTGAGCCCTTTGCCCTGCACTGAGAGAGCCCGTGGGCACTTGTCCATGGGGCCTCTGGTGAACCCTCTTCTGAAAGCTGGGTCACTTTTTATCAGGCATTCACTGTTCTCAATTGATGCCCTAGGGAGAACCGGGAGTTCCAGGTGATAAAGGAACCATGGGGCCAACCGGATCACGTGGAATGCAGGTTTGAGTCTGGGGGTTACTTTCTTGTCAACAATCCTCTACTCTGAGAGGGGAAGAAGGGACCTAACTGAGAGAGTCTGTGTTTCTTGGGGACCCAAGTTCTCTGAGGATCAGATGGATTTGGACAGTGGTTGTCAAAATATTCTCTTAGGGAATGGAATCTTAACCTGGGGTCTATGAACTTATTTTTGAAAATTATATTTAACCTCATTGGTTTCCTCTGTGATTTTATATATTTTGCTTGATATATTTACTCACACTTTTCTGAGATGGGTTCCGTGGTCTTGACTGGACTGCCAGAGGGGTCTACGACACACAAAAGGTTCAGAACCCTTACTTAGAGCCTCTACAAGTCATACCACTTACTCTCCTAACTAGACCTGCTTTTCAGAGGAAAATAAAAGATTGCTTTTTTCTTCCCACATCCAACCAGAGATGAACAGGATGGTAGAAAGGAGATGGACAGGCCTGGGGAAGGGAAGATGAGTCTTTACTTAGGCCTGGTGCTCTAACAGTTAGCTGTCCCATTGGGGGATGGGCTGCCTGGAGGAGTGGTGAGTTCCCCTCCTGGGAGGTATTCAAGCAAAGGCTGGATGGCTCTTGTTCGTTAGGTTCTAGTGGTGATTTCTTTTCACGTATGACTTGGACTCCATGGTCGCTGAGGTCTTTTCCAATTCTCTAAATCCGTAATCAGGGTTGGCTTATAGGACAAAGTTATAGGGAGAGATGCTGAGTTAGTTTTTAGGATAAAATGTTGGAAATACACTGGAACTCTGAATGCTTGCCAGGAAGTCTTAATCTCCTCTGCTCCTCTTCACTTGGAGCAACTTTTGCTATGGCAAAAAACCACGAGGTCAGAATAGAGGTTGAGAAATTTCCCTGGATGCATCCTTTCCTTTGGTGTCTCTGGGTCATGGCTTCCTGGAGCAGATCTGTAATCTCCAGGGAGGCAGCTCTGCCATCTAGCTATCCTGGATGACCCTCATCACTTCCTCCAACCCTTTCACCTTGGGAGTGGACCTGAGTTGACTAAGCAGGTTCTTGGATGACTATTCCAAAGACACTTTTCTGATACCATGTTAACTTGGCTAGTGACCAGTCCTACCAGGGTCTCCTTCTCCTGGACAGGTGTATCTGCACATGAGACGTAAGAAACAGTGAATGCAGTAAATTTGAAATTCATTCCTATGTTCACAGGGAGACTTGGGCATTGCAGGCTATGGCCGCCAGGGAAGGAAAGGAGCAAAGGTAATTACTAAAAGATTGACAGCTTTTCTCACTTGGTGAATCAAAAAAAACCTGTGTACAAATGCACTGAGTAATGATCTGCCTACACTTGTTTATTCTTTTTCTATCTTGCAAATTACAGGGCCCAAGAGGACAACCGGGAGACAGTGGGAACCAGGTACCTGAAGCTTCACTTAAATTGCAGTTACTGTAATAGGAAACATCTATTTATCTGTTTGAGGGCAGAGGGGGAGACAAATAGCCAGAGGTACTTCCTCTTGGGTGCATAGTGAAATATAGTAGAAGACAACCCTGGGTAAGCATTGTTTTCTAGATAGGAAAGGGTTTTCTTAAATTTACATTTTGTCATCCACCTTTCCAGCATTATTTCATATTACTATCCTTTATACACTCTTTTTTTTTGGCTAGGCAGGGGTTAAGTGACTTGCCCAGGGTCACACAGCTAGTAAGTGTTATGTGTCTGAGGCTGGATTTGAACTCAGGTCCTCCTGAATCCAGGGCCAGCGCTCTATTATCCACTGTACCACCTAGCTGCCCCCATACACTCTTTATTCTGATAAAAATTGGCCTGCTAGCTATTCCCCCGAGGTACAATTCCTTCTCTTCTACTTCTCCCAGAAAAGATGTTGGCTTAAAAAGGCCTCCCACTGCATCTGGGTCCATCTCCAGTTATCCTGGTTTATGTCTTGCCACTGGCCCCTGATGGCTCTGGAGGACAGAGTGAGGCTGGTGACTTTGCACAGCCCTGCCTCACTTAAATCCAATTCACTTGCAAGTCAAGACATCACCCTCCTGATGTCATTGGTCCTCTTTAAGAACAAAGGATGAACAACAACATTTCCCAGAATCCCCAGTCCTCCTTCAGAGGACGACCCAACTGGCTTCTTCTCCACAAGCCCTATCTTGATTGTCCCCTAGTTGTGAATACTCTCGCCATCTTGAAATGATGATCTATTACATTGTACTACATATTGTGGTGCAGTGAATAGAGCAGTGGGAAGACCCATCTTCCATGAGTTCAAATCTGACCCCAGACGTTTATTAGCTGTGTGACCCTGGGCAAGTCACTTCACCCTGTTTGCCTCAGTTTCCTCATTTGTAAAATGAGCTAAAGTGGTAAATCACTCTAGTATCTTTGCCAAGAAAACCCCTAATGGGGTCAGGCTTTGCAAAGCACTTTACATAAGTTATCTCATTTGAGCCTAGCAACAACTCTTTAATAAAGTATCTGCTTTATTTTATGGATAAGGAAACTGAAGCAGAAAGAGTGACTTGCTTTGGCTTACTCAGGATCTGAATTCAGGTCTTCCTAAGTCTACTTGCAGTGGACTCTATCAACAATGACATCTAGTTGAAATTATTAATTAGGTCAGATGCATAAACATACCTACAGGCCTTGTTCATAGGTTATTTGGACAGAAATTGTAGTCTACAGCTATTAAAACAGGTATGTGACTACTGGTGAGCATTTGGACCCTTGTATTAACCAGTAAGAGAAAAAAATACCTTGCGCATAGGTAACACCTCTCCACTTCTTCCCCACCCCCCATCTCCACAAACATAAGACATGTTTCCCTGCTCTCAGTAGTATCTATGTGACTGGGAAAATGCTTCAGAGCTTCAAGTATCCCATTACTGGACTCCCTTTATTAACACAGACTTTATAGACCATTGTCATGAGTTACTTTGCCTGGACAAGCATGTATTAAGGGGATACTGGGGATACAAAAGGAAGGACAAAGCAGCCCTCCCCTTAAGGTCCTTATGTTCTATTGAGGGGCAAATGTGTATAAAAATGAAATACAAAATATGTACAAAGTACTTTTGGGGGAAGGGGAAGACACTAGCAACTGGGGAGAGGATCAGGATGGGCTTCAGCACTAGAGCTAAGCTTTGAGGAAGCTGTCTTGGCGCCATTACAATAATTAGCTCATTTGGAGCCTGGGGTGATGCAGTAGACCTCTCAGGTCCACCTGATTCCCTGCTCTGCTACTTTAGGGAATTTATATTAAATGAAAAGTTAGGAATATCATGACATTCACTTCAAGTCCCCAGTTAGGAAGATTCCTAATAGTTAGGCAGAGGTTTGATTCTCTTTCTCAATTAAAATTTATCTTTGTCTCTTGCTAACTCCACGGGACTCTTTGTGGTTGAGGCAAAATTTAGGACAATAGAAATGTTTGGGTAGAGGACAAGCAGAGCATATTGCAATGACTGGTAAGAGAGAGGCCCTGAAAGAGGAAGCTGGAAAAAAGGAGACCTTTCTTGGAAGTTCCTTCAGTCTTTGAGGGTTTGGGTATGAGTGGTGGTATCAGCCTTGTCTTCTGCTCTAAAGGGCCCCTTGGGCCAAAGGCCTTCCTCACTCTCCCTCCTCTGTTGCATCTCAGGTCTGCTGTACTTTCCTCCTTTTGCCAATTGTTCCTGAGCTGCTGATTCTTTCCCGCTCATCCTCCTCTCTGTGGCTATACCCTTGACATCTCTCCTCTGCTCTGGACCAGCCTCTCCTTTTAAATATGCTTCTCTGGGTGGGATCAAGTCCCTCACCCAACTGGAACTGGCTTCCTGTTGCATCTAACTGAAATATCTTTGATTCAAGAAGTCTCCAAGCCTCATTCACATCGAGTGAACAAGACATATCCTCACCTGATAAATGATTTAAGACTAGTCTTTTTGACATTAAATTTTAGGGTGATATCAACTTACTCAGCTGAACCTTACCCGTATACTAGGAATTCTGTGAGGTGGTGGTGAAGAGAGAGAGTGCATTCCAGACACAGATGGGGGGAAAGGGGAAGAACAGCCCATGCAAATTCTCAAAGTCAGAAGATAGAGTATGTTGTATGGAGAAATGCAAGTAAGCCAGTTTGCTGAAGGAGAGTAGTGGCAACAGACATTTCACAGGTGAACACACACAATCTATGGCCATGCTACCACCATAATCCTTCGAACCCAGAGCCACTTCTGTGCCACAGTGAGGTATCAGAGGAGATCTTTAGTGGAAGATTTAGAAAATAATTGTTCCTTCAATAAATTCTCAATGGAATTTCTTTCATCTTCAGTAATCTATCCTTGGGCAGCTAGGTGGCGCAGTGGATAGAGTACTGGGTCTAGTCATGAAGATTCATCCTCCTGAGTGCAAATCACAGTTACTAACTATGTGAACCTGGGAAAGTTATTTAACCCTATTTGCCCCAGCTCCTCATCTTTAAATGAGCTGGAGAAGGAAATGGCAAACCACTCCAGTATCTCTGCCAAGAAAACCCCAAAAAAGGATCATGAAGAGTTGGATAGGACTCATTGGAAAAGACCTTGATGTTGGAAAAGATTGAAGGCAAAAGGAAAGGGGGGGGATGGCAGAGGATGAGATGGTATCATGATCGATATCAGAGATAGATGGTGTCATGGAACAACAAACATGAACTTGGACAGACTTCGAGAGATAGTGGAGGATGGAAGGGCCTGACATAATATGGTCCATGGGGTCACAAAGAGTTGGACTTGACTGAACAACAAAAATCAGTGGGGTGGAATGTTAATGTCAATAGGCAAAAATACCAACATTTAAGGATAAATAGAATTATAATAATAGCTAGCAGTTATATAATGCCTTAAGGTTTACAAAGTGCTTTGTAAATATTATCTCATTTTATCCTCACATCCAGTCTGGGAAGTAAGAGCTATTATTATCCTCATTTTACAGATGACAAAACTGAGGTCAAGAGGGGTTAAGTGATTTGCACAGGGTAACACAATCAGTAAATGTCAGAAGCTTTCCAAATGCCATATAGCAAGTGTTTTCAGCCTCAAAAGAATCAAATGCTGAAAAGTCACATTGAGGAGGTTATTAATTACCCAAAGTTGAACACTGAAAGAAGGCCAGGTGATAAGGACAGCAACTGGCCATCTGGGGAACCTTGAGGACTATCACCTCCAATGAACCACATATCAGAAAGAGAACTTTAACCAACTAGAAAAGTTACACCCACACCAATGAAGGAAGTACTTAGCTTTAATCACAGTATTTACACTCTGGTCAACTCATTTGATTATTGAATTATTGTATTATCGTAAAGCTTAAAAAACAAGAATTTGAGTAATGATTATCTCCTTCAATCATTCAACCAACCGGGATTTATTAAATGCCTACTACGTGCTGAGCACTTTGCAAACCTTCAAGCATTATATAAATATCAATTATTATTAAAGATACTGTCTATTTTCCTCTTTTCAATTTTACTCTTATCTGATTCACTAGGGTGATGTTGGTGACCCAGGAATTCAAGGGGAAGCTGGACCTAAAGGATTCAGAGGACTCGCAGTAAGTAGGCTAACTTCCCTGGGATATTAGGTTCTTGTTTATTTTTTAATAAATTAATCTGGCTGTTACATTTAAAAAATAGTTTAGATTGTTTGTGATTCCTTAGGGCATCTAATCTGCCAGTAGATAGCTATGTAACCTTGGACAAATCATTTAATTTCCCTGGGTCTTAGTTCATCCATTCCTACAGATTTGGTTTGGACTAAATGATCTCCAAGGACTTTTCTAGCTCCAAAATTCCATGAATTTATGCAGTGTTGAAGTGGTGAATCTTTGGGGCTTGTTTGTATTAATGCTAATTTCCTCAACTATTTGTTAGCTTATATTAAGGTCCAGAACATAGCATTATCTGTAATGGTCCTTAGAAAGCCCCTCTCTCTGTAAAGGGAGGCTGATAATCTAGCTATGAAGACAACAAAAGTTGGCCAGGCTGTCCTCACACTAAGGTTGTTAGGCTGTGTCTAAGACTGATTTTAAGCCCGTGATCTCAAATAACAATCTGACTAACATACAGGAAATTCCTTTTGATTTGCATTGCATCCCTAATTGGGATCCTGTATCTTCCTACCCATTTTAGGGCCTCTGTTAGAAAAAAAACAAAAACAAAAACAAACAAACATAGGGGTAATATGGAAACTGAGGTGCTTCCTTGAGCCTCACTTCCAAAATCTGCTTTGATTAACATTCAAATGAAGCTGGAGACCAGAACCAAGGCGGAAAAGGCAAGGTCATCTTCCAGTATCCCTCCCCCTCCCACATTCCTGCCTTTATTGAATTACACGTGTGTGTTTATGTGTATAATGCATATGTATATCTGCCAACAACAAAGTTCTTGACTTTTGTACTATATTCTGAATGCTGTCTCCTTACATGTGATCTATCTGAATAGAAGAGAAGCTGTCTTCTTTCCTTCTGCATCTTTTTTGAGTTTTCTGATGATTCTGCTCTCCCTAACCCAAGGTCATTTGGGGAGGCCAGACACTTATTCATTTTCTGGAAGAATATTCTTCCAATAAGAAAAGCACAGAGATAAAAGGTGCATTTTCATTTTTATATATGAATTCAGTCATGGGCATCATTCTTAGAGTGAAAAGGTTGGCAGCAGCCGGGTGCTTTCCACTTGACTGGATAAATTTCATTAGTGCCCAAGTCCATCATCCTGAGCTGTGTAAATGGCTGACCTTTCCAGTTCCCTCCTTGTGTTGGTGACTGATGCTTTTTCTTCATTTTTTTTTCAGGTTGGAGGTTTTTTATTAGGTCTCTTCATATGATAGTCAGATTGTTTCTCTTGTTCACTTTGTCTCCTTAAAAAAATTTATGTGTCAAATGTGCAGCCAAAAACACATCCCTATATGAGCAGTTGGGGAAACCTTAAAAAGGAACAAGGATGTTCGGTTTTGTCATTCATTTTTAGGAATGGCTCTTTTCTTTCTGAGTGAACACTTTATTTGCCCTGAATGAACCTTGACTTGTGTTTGTGAAGTCTTATCAAAACTGAGTTTTAAGCACACTGATAACATTTTCATCCACCATAAGTAAACAGTTTGACTTTAATAAGTGCCTTATAATTATCCTTTAATATTTCCTTGTATAGCATCTGGATCTTTATGTTTATGTCAAGCTACACGGGTTGATGGTATCTGTAACATGTTTTCTTCTGTAGTTTGGCCCGGGTCCAAAGGGTGAAATTGGCTTTCCTGGCGCTCCGGGACCTGCGGGGCCAAGGGTAAGTATTTCCGTAGTTAGTAAACAGTACTCTGGTGACGATTTTTTTTTTCATTCAAAGTCCCTCACAAAGCTGGGATGCTATAACATTTGACACTATTGTTCTCTTTCCTCTGAAAAGAAACAAAAGAGTGAGTGGTCCTTGGAGGCTACTGGGAAAATTCCCACTTGCTTGACTCTTTTTATCCTAGTGAAAGAGAATAGGAATGAGAATGAGAAAGAAGGTTCAGGATTTTTTTAGATGAGTGAGTACTCACTACCTCCAGGAAGCCTTCTCTAACTAATTTCAACTGTGCTCTAGGCATCTCTGTGGAGATCTCCTGGTACCTGATCACTCTAGGCTGCTTGCTCTCTGATTTGCAACTACCCTTGACTTTCTGGCCTAAAATTAACTCCGTAATAAAAAACCAAATAGGTGTTTATGTCAAACTTGCAAAATTTTGAAAGCAACTCCTTTCTCTGATTTTGATTCTTGTTTTGTGATATGCCCACCCTTTTTCATTTCCATTCAAATCCAGTTCTTGGTATTCTTGGTTTTTACGACCTGGAATGTTTAAGCTTGCTTCTTGAATGTTATTCCTTTCAAGCATTGCCTCATGTAGACAAATACTGCTCCGCCCGGCAGCAGATTCCTTTCACTTCAGCGCATCACATCTGGGGTGAGCCAAGGTGGGCAGGCTGGAGAGGAGATATGTTGATCTAAGTGAGCCAATATGCTGAAATACACTTGCCTTGTATGGACAAAGCCTCGCTGAGCCAAGGCCTCAGATGTTATCCTCTGACCCAGCTTGTGCTAGCTAATATTCATTCATTTAAAGAATACTTAATATGGGTGTGGTACAATGGAAAGAGTACCTAGGCAAGTTCTAATCCTGACTCTGCCACTTCCTAACTGGATGACCCCAGGCAACTCTGAGCCTGAGCTTCCTCCTTGTTGGATTCAATGGTCTCTAAGGTCCTTCAAGCTCCAACTCCATGATCCTAGGGCCTCTCTGAGCTTGAGTTTCATCACCTGTAAAATGGGGAAGGTGTACAGAGGCAGAGTGACTGGATGGTTTCTCATCTCTAAATCTGTCATCCTAAGAGCACCAGCCACGCACAAGGCATTGCAGTGGGTGCTCTGAGATGTCTAATTGTTGGTCAAAATTAAGAATGCATTATTCCCTTCAGTTACATAGTTAAAGCTTAAGAATTTGTACAAAGTAATCTTGCACACATACCAATAACCTGCTTCCTGCTTTTCCAGGGTCCTAAAGGCATGAAGGGACAGCCTCTAAGTTCGGTAGGTACCTCTCTCACCCAGCCTTTTGTCTCCAACTCATCCGTCCAGACGTGAGCAGTACTCATTGCTCATTGCCCCCTTTTCTTGTCTTTCAGGAATGTGAGCTTCTTAATTTCCTGAGAGATCATAGTCGTGAGTATTCTGGTTTCACAAATGAGACCAAAATATCAATTCTTAGCATACAGGCACATGGAAGTCAGTAGGGCTCAAAATATAGCCGACCTACTCATCATATTTGGAGATGGTACAGATGACAGGAAGAAGGGAGAGCTGATCATTAGCTGATGCTCTCACCATCCAAAAAGCATCGCAATAGGCTATAACAATGAGTCAAATCTAACCCTATCAGATTTAGCTGAGTGGTGCAGTGGTGAGAGCACAGGGCCTGGTGGCAGGAAGACCTGAAAAATGGTGGTTTACATTCAAGCATCATGTAGTATTCAGATTCTTAGTAGCTCATTTATGACAGAATCAGGCAAATGCTAACCTAGATCGATATTAGGATATTCTATTCATCGAAAGAGGAAGGAAGTCAGGAAGTCTTGACTCTGAGTGATACTAGGCTGTGTGATATGATCACTTAACCTCCCATTGCCTCTAGGACACTCTTTATGACTATAAGGTTCCCACGAGTTACCAATATGTGTCGGAGGAGAGAGTTTCCACACTACAAGAAACCTGAATGGATGAAATCTAAGGTCCAGACAAAAAGGAAGGAAGGAAGGAAGGACGGACGGAAGGAAAGGAGGAAGGAAGGAAGGAAGGAAGGAAGGAAGGAAGGAAGGAAGGAAGGAAGGAAGGAAGGAAGGAAGGAAGGAAGGAAGGAAGGAAGGAAGGAAAGGAGGAAGGAAAGGAGGAAGGAAGGAAAGGAGGAAGGAAGGAAAGGAGGAAGGAAGGGAGGAAGGAAGAAGAAACTATGTTCGTATTAAACTTGTCATTTGAAGGAAGAGGCTTCTAGTTTTGGTCTTTGTATACCAGCACCTAGCATAGTGAATTGTACATAATAGGAGCTTGATAAATGTTCATTGAATTTACAGTTAGGCCCCAATTAGTGTGAATAATGAATACCATGAAGTGGTTGCATGTATTCAATGTAAAAGATGGCCATTGGTAGCAGCCCAGTGGAAGTCTCCAGTGAGAATTCAAATAATGTGATCACTTAATGGGATGCATTATTCTCACTATTTGGCACCTAGTTGTAATTGAATGTGATGCATGGAAAGAAAGCTTGCTGGGGACAAAATCTGAATGTTTCTCGATTCTCAATAAATTAATAAAATAGACTTGGAAAAAATAACTAGGTCAATTTTCTGTGAGCTTTTTCAACCATATCTCTTGCTTTATCTTAGACTTTAAAAAGCAAACCCAACATTTAAAGGGAAGCACAAGCTGTTTTGGTGGAAGTAACCCTGGGGAAAGTTCCTCATTTCTGCTGGATGGGAATCAAACTCCACCATACAAAGGGAGCTTGGTGGCCAAACGCAGGCTCATTTGGAATTCCCTGAGGCTCTTCAGGAGAATAGAAATTGTCTGGATGTTCTTCAGGGAAAACAATTAGATGACAGATTTTGGTCTAGCAGCCAGCCTTAGTCTCAAAAGGCCCTACATGTGTACTGTGGAATCAAATGAATTGAATTTTGGAGACCTTGTCACTAAATCGGAAGCTTAGGCTTGTACTTAAAAGACGAATGGCTGTTCTTCAGTTTTCAGCACAAGATCCTATGAAAATACTTTCAGCTATAGTTTATAAGGAAGGGAGAAAAATCAATTTAAATTTCAGTGAGAGGCTAGTCTCTTCATTTTAAATCTCACCTTGGTTTTCTTGCATCTAAAAAGTAGGACCACATAGAGCTAGAAAAAATGTAATAGTAAAATAGTAAAATTTGGCTTTAATCATTTTTTCTTAATATTTTATTCCAAAAACATTAATATTCTCTCTCTCTCTCTCTTTCTGTCTCTCTCTTTTTCACTCACTCACTCTCATTTTTACAGCCTGTTGGGAAGGTAAGTTTTCATTATTATACTTTGTTTTTTATTGAAATGGTTATTGCATTGCCAAATCTAATCATTTTCCCCCTCCATAACATCTCTTGAATTTCTCCTCCTCTGCCTATTCATATGACCATCACCAAGTCTTCATCCTCTCATACCAGGGCTATTACAATGGCCTCCTAATTAAAATCCCAGCCTCAAATTTCTTGCCACACTGGTCCCCCCCCCCACAGCTGTTAAAATGATTTTCTTAAAGCACAGCTCTAACCATGTTACTCCCCCATCCAGTAAACCCTGAGTTGCTTTTGGAATCATATGTGAACTTTTCTTTTTAGCTTTTAAAGCTTTTCACAAGTTTCTGTTCTTTGCAGTCCCTTCAGACTGACCTTCCAACTCAAGGGTTCTCAACTTAAGATTTGAGAAATTGGGTTTTAAAAAATATTTTCATGGTTGTATTTCAATATAATTGGCTTTCTTTGTAATCCTATGTATTTTACTTTATGCATTTAAGAACATTTTTTAGGGGATCCTTTGGCTTTCCCAGATTTCCAAAGAAGTCTATGTCTTCAAAAAGTAAAGAACTCCTGGTCTAGCTTTCCTCACACAAGGCACCCCTATCTCCCTGCCTTGCCCTGGTTTGCCCACATACTTGGAAGGAACTGTCTCCTCCCCTCTTCCTCCTTGAGTCCCTTCCTCCCTCAAAACTCAACTCAAGCACCCCCTTGTTTTCAAAAGCTTTCTTGATTTTCCAAGCTGTAAGTATTTCCCCCCTCCAAATTAACCTGGTATTTGTTTTCTGTTTTGCACACACATATGTATACATATATATGTGTACCTATATAAACGTACCTACATAGGTATGTTTGCATATATGTATCTCTGTGTACACACACGCACATACACACATTTATAGATAGGTGTTTCCTCTAATAGAATGTAAGCTTCTTCAGGACGGGAACGGTTTCATTTTCAATCACATGGTTGATGCCAGTGGCTGGCTGTCCCTTTGATTTGATGCCCATACTGCTGTGCCTGGTACTAGATCCTATCGCTATTTGCTGATGCGGTTGTTTTTGCACGGGAACGAAGTCCAGCTCCTCAACCCTATGCTGGTTTGATGGAGGTGCAGAGTTGGAACCTTAGACCTCAGAATTCCTCTTTAGTCTAACCTGACCCTGACTGAGAATGCCATCTATGACAACCCTAGCAAGCCTGAAGGACCACAAGCAAAAGGGAATTACATAAAGGAATAGCATAGTTGATACATCACTGAACTGAATCAACAAGGCCTGGCTTCAAACCCCACCAAGGACATGTAGTTATCTGTGTGACTCTGAAAAAAAATCACTTGAACTTTTTGAACCTCAGTTTCCCTATCTGTAAAATGTGGGTAATTGATAACACTAACCATTCAGAGTCAACATAAGAACCAAATGGAATATAGAAATGCATGCACATGCATGCACATACATATGTATGTGATTATGCATGTATGTATGAAGAGCTTTGCAAACCTTAAAGTTCCATATGATGTCACCTATTATTGTGGCAGCTCATTGCTCATGGGGACATCTCTGACTATTAGCCAGGTGCATACATAGTTTGCTGATTCCTTCATCCTTCCCTCTAGGATTTAGTCACAGCTTCATTCCTTGACTCCTCAGCTGTTTTGATATCATGGTGGAAGATGAACCCTGCCATCGCTGACCTATGTTTTAGAGCCTCACGGCCTCTGGCTGGTGCACAGCAGGCTGACCTATTTACTGCTTTCAGAGAACAGCTGCTGTCGTGGTGGTGGTGTGCAGTCCACCCCACGGGGTTTTCTTGGCAAAGATCCTGGGGTGGTTTGCCATTTCCTTCTCTCAGTCTGGAACAGCTGCTACCCTATTGCCTAACGTTGCCTTCGGGGAGCCCCTCCAATGGTGTAGGTTCTCCCCACTTGGTCCCCACACTTCAGCCTGTCCAGGATAACCAGCCTTCTGCTGGTCTGTGGACTGCATGACCACCCCGTAGGACCAGATTTGGGCTTCCCAGGCAGCCTGCTGCCTTGCCACTTCCTCCTACATGGTGCACAGATGCCCCTAAGGAAACAGTTCAAAAAGCAGGTCACGTCCTCTGTGGTAGACCCCAGGTCTCCCAGACCCATGACAAATTTAGCCATGTTCCTGCACTCTTAACTTGGCTCAAAGCCTAACTCTACCATTTGTGCCTCCTGCAGGATGCGTCTGCTTTCTTGTGGTTCCCAAGCACCTCCCAGTAGTACATTTTTCTCTGCTTATTACCCAGCAATGAGAGAAAACAGCATTCATTTTACTTTTCCTATTGTACCCATGAGACTTTCCCTTCGGTGTTTTTTGTTTAGCTAAGTCTTCTTTCCCCCAAACCCATTAAGTCAGCTTCAACTTTCTTGTCTTCCTGGCTTTGCCTGTGGGAGCCAAGCAAAACAAGTCTGATCTCTTTTTCACGTAACAGCATTTCGATTACCTGAAGTTATCATCCCATCCCCTACTCCAAAGACTGTCTTCTCCAGACTCAATATCAATCAATCAATCAAACATCTATTAGCACTTACTATGTTCCAGGCATTGTGCTAAGCTCTGGGGATACAAAAAGAGGCAAAAGACAGTCCCTGCCTCCGTAGAATTCACAGTCGGGGGTGGGGGGAGACAACGTGCAAACAAATATATACAAAACAAGCTACATATAGGAAAAACAGCAAATAATCAACAGCAGAGGGGTTGGGGAAGGCTTCCTGTAGAAAGTGGGATTTCACCTGGGACTTAAAGGAGGCCAGGGAAAACTGTAGGCAGAAGGAAGGAGGGAGAGCATTCCGGGCATGGGGGAGAGCCAGAGAAAATATCCAGAGTCAAGAGATGGAGGGTCTTGTTCATTGAACAACCAGAAGGCCAATCAGTATCACTGGATAGAAGAGGATGTGGAGAAGAGTAGAGTATAAAAAGGCTGGGAAAGTAGGAGGGCTTTGAATGCCAAACAGAGCAATTTGTATTTGATCTTTGAGGCAATAGGGAGCCATTGGAGTTTACTAAGTGTGTGTGTGTGGGGGGTGACAGAATCAGACATGCACGTTAAAGGTGGAATCAGCAGGCTTTTTGGTGGTGGGGGGGGTGTAGGGAAAGTGGGAGAGGGGAGGATTTAGGGGGAAAGACAATGAGTTCAATTCTTCAGCCAATTCTCATTTGCCAAGATGATCAATTTCTTTTTTAAAATGAGATACCTAGAAATGAACACAATCCTCTTTATGGCGTCCGACCAGAGCAAAGTACAGAGGACCGAGTCCACTGCCTAATGTTGGGCACTATACCTGTATAAAGGTAGAGTAAGAAAATATTGGCTCTTGACTTACGCTGAGCTTGCAATCCACTAAACCTACCAGGTATTTTTTTTTTTCAGACAGACTACTATATAGCAATGCTTCCCTTACTTTACACCTGTTAAGATGACTTTTTAGAATCTAAATGTAAGTTTCCATTTTTCCTAATATAGTCATTCTTTTTAGATTTGAGCTTTAGAACTTTAAGGGCATTCTGACTTCATTCACATACAAAACCAACACCAGCAGCGGCAGCAATAGCACCTGCTACCAGCAGCAGCAGTATGGGCATAAAACCAAAAGGACACCTAGCTACTGGCATTAATAAATCAATCAACTACTGGTTGACATTGTTAGAATCTTTTAGAATCTTGATTCTGTCATCCAGTGTGTCAGGCATCCCTCCAGACGGTGTTGTCTGGAAATTTGATGACCTGTTCCTTTATCCAAGTCATTAATAAAAATATTCAACAGCATTGGGCCAAACCCAGCTCACCGGGAGAGCCTCCGTCCAACTTGAAACTGGGCCATTAATGGTTACTCTTGGAGACCAGGCATTTAACCAGTTTCTGAATCTGCCTGAATGCATTATCCCTTAGCCATTCCTAATCCTCTTGTCCGCCTGAGTAACATGAGAGAGCTGGTCAAGTGCTTTGCTCCAATCGAGACAAATTACAGCTACAACATCCCACGATCTAGCAGCCTGTTGAATCTGTCAACCATGGAAACGAAGGTTGGTCTGGCACGGCCTGTTCTTGATGAACTTCCAGATGTCCCTTCATTCTCCCTTTAACTCAGGGTTTCACATTGTTGTCGAGAATAGAAGGCAAGCTCGCTGGCATGTAGCTTGTAAACACCCTGCTTTTACCCTTCTCCAGAGTTGTAGGAGATCTCCTGCCCACCGTCTTCACTGACCGTCACCACGGTTCTTTCAGATCTCGTTCATCTGGGTTGATGACTGACTTAAACTCATCCAGGACAGCTAGTTTCTCTTTGTCTTGGGTTTTAACTCCCTAATCCAACTTAATCCACCAAAGAATTGAACAGACTTTTTTTGGTGTTATTGTTCGAGGTACTAGGACTTAAAGCATGGAACTGGAGATGGAGATAATGTTCCTCCAACTATCTTTTTGGCAATCCCTGGTGTTTATACTCTTCATTTGAATCTATGTAATTTATAGAAATGTTGTGCTGAGATTTGGGGCGGGGGGTGAGTAGGGCTTGCAAATGCCCTGGGAGATTGAGGTGGCCTTTCTCAGATCACATCTGACATTTTAAGAAGGATGATGATGAGCTGGAGAGCATCCAGACAAGAACAATGGAGATAATGAAGGGGCTGTAAAGCCTGCCATGTATTCTGGGATGGGCCTGACTTATATCAGTTCCCTGGTAATTCCATTTAGATATTGGAACAAAATGAGATACTCATAAGTCTTTCACCAGTTAACAAAGGGAGATTTAGATAGCTGTCTCAAGAGAAAGACATTTCAGCAAGGACACATTGAGAACACCTCAGGTCTATTTAACTGAACAAAGGTCCCCTGCCTTCATTAATCATTGTGATCCATTAGCCAAACCTTCAAGAAGCCTTGGGTGTGCCTTGTGCCTACTTTGTCCTCAGATTAGGAGGCAATGATATCAAAGATCTGAGCCTTTAGTCCCCGAACCAACCCAGTCTCTAGTTACATCTCAACACCTTTTAAGGAAAAACTAACCTAACCTACCTGGTGGAGGTGGGAGGGAAGGGTAGGAAATTGTGTCTATCACACCCTATGGTGATCTATTGAAGGAACTAAGGAGATTTAGCTTAGAAAAAGGAAGACTTAGGGAAGGACTTCAAGTATTTTAAGGGCTGTCAACTGGTAAAAAATGATTTAATTTGATTGCTCAGCCAGAGGGCAAAAGTAGGAACAATAGGTGGAAATAACAGGGAGGCAAACTTTGCCGTAGTATCACAAGAAGCTCCTAATAAATAGAGCCATCCAAAAATGGAATGGGATGCTATGCTACCCTCACTGGAAGTCTTTGAGCAAAGGCTTCAGTATCAATTGTTGAGTATATAGTAGAGAAAATTCTTGTCTAGGACTCTCTGGCTTCTCAGGTCCTTTTAAGGCTGAGATTCTGTGATTTCTATGAGATCATTCAACATGGTGGTATTAGCATGGGCTATTAGGTCTGTGTATACAGAGTAGGGTGCCCTTGATGGAGAAATGCCTTGAGAGAATGCCATGTGAGGGTCTTTTGAAGGAAGTGGAGGTATTTAGTTGGGAGAAAAGATTTATGGGAAGACTTCAAATATTTGAAAAGCTATCAAGGAGAAGAAGGATTTGAAGAGTTCTTCTTGGCCACGGAGGGCAGAATTAGGAGGAATGGCTAGGCAGTGGCAGCCCCCTAACCTGGAGACTCTTCTTAACTTGTTGGTGTCCACCTACAAGTCCAGGGAATGTCATCTGGGCTAGAGAGTTATACTTTTTATAGGCTCTGGATTGATATCTGCTTGGTGCAATTGATCTAGAATGCCTAAATGTGTGGTTTTTATTTCTTTGATTTTAGGCAAATGCCCTGTCTACCCAACAGAATTGGTATTTGCATTGGATGTGTCAAGACAGAGATTTGAATTTGTGAAAAATATGACCATTTCCATTGTGAAAGACCTTAAAATCAGGGAAAACAACTGCCCCATGGGAGCAAAAGTTGCTGTCCTATCCTACAGTTCTGACAGCAGGTATCTTGTCCGCTGGTCAGACTATTCCAGCAAGCAGCAGCTCCTCCAGAAGCTCTCCAGAATGACATTTCAACGACCTTCCTATCCTAGAGATCTTGGCGATGCCATGGTATTTGTGGCCAGGAATGTTTTCAAGCGAACCTTACCAGGACCTAACGTCAGGAGGCTCACTGTGTTTTTTAGTGACAATCAATCTCCAGATATATCCTCGATCATCACTGCCACCATGGAGTTCAGTGGCCTCAATATCATTCCAGCTGTATTTGCTTTTAATGAAATGTTTGCCTTGAGGAGGCCTTCCAGGTAAGGACGTCTCCTAGCTCTTATATTTATCCATTTATTTATTGTTAGGAATGCAAGCTGCTAACCTCTCTTATGGATTTCAAAGCAGTGTTCTGTTATTGATGGATGACACAGGGAGATAGTTAATTATTTATGAGGCCATCAAAACTATTGGCACTCATTTAAAGAAATTTCTTTGGCTATCTCAGCACTTCATAGGACACTGGAGGTGGAAGGGATCTTAGAGGTCATCTAATCCAACACTCTAATGATACAGATATGAATTTCAGAGACAAAAAAGAGACTTCTCTAGCCATTCAGGGGGTAAATAGCAGAGCTGAGATTTGAACTCAGTTCCTCTGATTCCTCATTAGTATTTGGTCTATTACCCACATTGGACTCCTTTCTCCAAACTCTGTAATCCTTTTCTCTATATCGGTTCTTTGGCCCTTGGCATATGATACCTTTTGTTGTTGATCTTTATATAAATGATTCCTGTCTTCCCAATTAGCTTACAAGATGCTTCAGGTCAAGGACCAGAATATTCACCTTTGTAGCCATAATACCAACTCTAATACCATATGCACATGAATGCTTATAAATAAATGATCACTCAAAACAAAAGTTCATATCCGGGGGGCCATAAACTCAGTTTTTTTTAAAAAAAAAACTAATCCATGAGATGGAGAGCCTCCAGACTTGTGGTTGTCTCAAAAAAGAAGAAAAATCAAAGACTTTTTTTTTTCTCTTCCATATAGTTCAATGACACTGGCACCTATCAGGTCATTCCAGTTCTACCCTCTCAATTTTCTGAGCCAATAGAAAGACTTCGTCAATGCACACTTTGCTATGGTAAGACCAATGGAAAAAAAATTAGCATCATCAAGTTTTAGAGCCTCCAGCTGAATTATGGCACTTGGCTTTAGAGGGAATTGTAATTTGGTTTATGGATGCATATTGGGTAAGAATTTGATCCCCAAGGCTATGCTTGGCACAGAATTTCAGAGCATGAAATTTGCCTCCCCCAAATTGCTGTTTGAAAGATGAACCTTAAAAAGGTGTGTGTGTGGCGGGGGGGCTTCTAACCAATGGACTGAGCAGCCTCAATTCCAGAGGACCCATGATGAAGCATGCTACCTACCTCCTGACAGAAGACTCAGGGTGCAGATTGAGACAAATACTTTTTGGACATGGTCAAATGTGGGAATTTCCCCCCTCAACTATGCATATTTATTATAAGACTTATGTTTTTCTTTCTTTCTTTTTTAAATTGTGGAGGAAGTGGGAAGGAGAAGAATGGGTTTTGTTCATTAAAAAAGTAATATTAAATTTTAAGAAATTTAATGTCTCCTGACCTCTCCCCCCAAAAAACCACTTCAATTTAACAAACATTTGCTAAGCACAAAACTTGGGCAGAATCTTACTCTAGGTGCTGAGGATGGGGGAGAGGGATACAAAGTTCAGCCAAAACATGGTCTTCTTGTCTCATCTCATCCTCTCTTTCATGAAAGTAGAAAGATAAGATGCACACATCACCAATTATTATACAAAATGATATGTACCAAGTATATGAGTTGTAAATTGGATATTATCATACCAACTGCCTCTTAAATTTCAATCAAGGTGGTTTAGGTGGAGTTTAAATAGCTCTGCCATTCACTGTTCTGCTTGACATGAGACTAACAATGCTTAACATGGCTGAGCCTAGGCAGTCATCAGATCATAAGACAGAGCAGTGAGGGATATTGTGGATCATTCAAATGAACCCCATCATTTTATAGATGACAGACTCAAAACCCTGGGTGGTGAAAGGATGCGCCCAATATCCTTTAATATCCCAGAAGGAACTTAAATTCCAATCTGGGGCTTGTGAGTCTCTATCTAGTGCTTTTCCTACTATGATACATTTGTTTGCACAAGATACATAAATTTAGAGAATCCACCCAAATGTTCACATGCACTATTTGTGCCAGACCTGTGGTAGAGCATTTTAAGGTCATATTGGCCTGATCAGCCACAGTCATACAGATTGTAACTTGACTCTAATAAAGGAATGTCATTTTGGTCCTTTCTGAGAACAAAGGACAACTGTCAAGCACCTACCATGTGTCAGGCACTATACTAAGCATTTCCATGACATCTCTCTCATACTGTCTTTAGCTGTTATGGACAAATGTCATACTTGAGTCTGAAAGCACTCAAAACTCATTGAATCCATAATATCAATGAACACTTCTGTCAGTATAAAAGGGAGACTGGGAGGAAGGGCGCTGTGGTGGAAGAACAATGGAGTATATAATAGAAATCCTGGACTTGGGGGTTGGGGCTTCACTTGTTAGCTCCATGACCATGAGCAAGTCATTTAACTCAGAGCCTCCATTTCCTCACCTGTCTGGTGAGAATTATGAAAATTCTCATATTACTTATCTCTTGTGAGGCTATCATGAACCTAAAGTGCTCAGCATACTTTAAGTACTATATAAATAAATGTCAGCTATTGAGATAGATATTTCAAATCTAAGATTTTGAGTTTTGGGTTACTTTGTTAGTCTGAGGCTCAAAGACTTCAAAAGCAGATCTGTTAATTCAGACTCCAACCTTTCCCAGGTCACCATTCCACCATGTAAGTGATGAGTAGTTTTGTTTGTTTGCAGATAAATGCTTCCTAAATGTTTGTGCAGAAGAGCAAGTTGATCAAATAAATTCATACATGGATGCCCTCTTCCTTCTGGACAGCTCCCGGCACGTGACAGGAGATGAGTTTGAGCAAATGAAATCTTTTCTGAGCTCGGTGCTTGACAGCTTTGACATTTCTGAAGACCCTTTTCAATCCAATGTAGGTGATCGGTTGGCTTTGCTAAGCTATTCACCAGGGGATTTTTCCAGGAGAAGGATAAGCACCCCTGTGAAGGAAGAGTTTGTCTTTACCACCTATAACAGCAAAACCCTAATGAAGAGGTATATCCAGGATTCCCTTAAGCAACTTCATGGAGAATCCTTTGTCGGCCATGCCCTGCAATGGACAACAGAGAGGGTCTTCTCCAATACAGAGCAGTCAAGGAAAAACAAAGTCATATTTGTTATATCTGCTGGAGAAAATAATGAAAAAAAGGATGTCTTAAGGGAAATGGCCCTGAGGGCTAAATGCCAGGGGTATGTCATATTTGTGATTTCTCTGGGATCCACACGAGAAGAAGAAGTAGAAGATATAGCCAGCCTCCCTCTAGATCATCATTTGATTCAACTTGGCAGAATTCACAAACCCAATTTGGACTATGCTGTGCGGTTCATTAAACCTTTTGTCTACTCAGTCAGACGTAAGTCCCCAAATTCCATTTCTTTGCTTTTAGAGAGAACATGTTCATTAGCAATAGTAATGCCTCTATGCAGATATCTCTGTCGTTGGAGTCAGCAAAACTTGAGATGAAGTAATGCCTCTAACACATAGCAGCTTTGTGACCTTAAGTACCTTTGGTACTCCAAGGAATGGTACAATTTGTGAAGCAGTAGCTGATCTGCATTGGTAGAAGCTTACTCCTTGAGAGTTCCATAAATCACTGAAAATTCCTGGAGGGAATAACAATGGAGGGAGGAGAGGATGGGAGGGCAATATCTCCTTTTTCTAATCTAATCCAAAAGCTCACCAAATCGAATCAAGTCAATAAGCATTTATTAAGCACCTACTATATGCCAGTCACTTTGCTAAGCACTGGGGATACAAAGAAAGGCAAAAAATGGTTCCTGCTCTCAAGGAGCAGTCTAATGGGTAAGGCAACATGCAGACAACTATGTGCAAAGATGAGGCATACAGGATATACTGGAGAAAATCTTAGAAGGAAAAGGGGCCGGGAAAGGCTTCTTGCAGAAAGTGGGGTTTTAGCTGGGCCTTGAAGGAAGCCAGGGAAGCCAGGAGGCAGAGATGAGGAAGGAGAGAGTTACAGGCATGGGAGATAGCCAGTAAAAATGCCAGAAGTCAAGAGATAAGAGTCTCTTATGGGAGAAGCAGCAAGAAGGCTAATGTCACTGAATCACAAAGTACATAGAGGGAAGTAAGATGTAAGAAAACTGAAAAGGGAGGAAAGAGGGTGGTTATGAAGGGCATTAAAAGACAAACAGAGAATTTTATATTTTATCCTGGAGAGAACAATTGGAGTTTATGGGATACTCTAAGAGCTAAAATGTGCCCTAGTGTATATATATGGTCTACTGACTACATATTTCATGCTAATGAGGTATGGGTTGGTAAGCTACCCTTTTAACAGTATTTTGGTTCCAAAAGTCAGGATAACCAGTAACACGTAACTTCTGTCACTCTCTAGAAACCAGTCTGGAGTAAGGATTTGGATTATACTTTCTGTGGGTGATTTCTTTTCAGCCCTTCTAGATAGCTGAAAGATGCCATAAGAAATTTGGGGTCCTTCCTATGAAGTGCATACTGCTCTAGTTTATCAAAAAGTTTTGAATTGAACTTGTCCCACAATAATCCTTCAGACCAGTCTGTGTTGTAATCATTACCCTTATAGGTACCCTGTGGCCCTCTAGTTCAATCCCATAGCCCAAAGCAACCTTAATATTCAAGGATGCAGTCAATATTGCTTTCCACTATGTGAGCACAACATTTGTACTGTATTATAACATTCAGATTACACCACTTCTCATCTGACCCTACATAACAAGGGAAATCCAGATAGTGGCTAGGTATTTCCTTGGAAATATTAGTTATAGGATCATGGAGATATTCTGAATAAGTTTCAATGGAAGATTTAATATTTCAATGCCAGAATACATTCTTATAATAGAAGCTCTATTAACTAATTACAGAGGGTGTCAGCCCTAGCAAAAGAGCAGTCACCAAACTGTAGCCATATTTTGGCCTGCCATCTCATGGAATGATGTTCAAGGCAATATGTTTCATATTAATTAGGCTATGAAGCTGAAACTCTTGCCATGGCCCATTTTCCAATGTAATAAAAATATTTAATTAGCATAGATCAAAGACCCTAAATAAACATTTATTCCACCTTATCTCAGATGCCTTTATTTTTCAAGGAGTATAGCTGGAGAGAATATAATTCATCCTTATAAAATCCTTTTCAAGTTTAAAGGCCCAATCTAACCATTTTCCCCCCATTCTTCTAATAGGAGGATTCAACAAATACCCCCCTACAACAATGGAGAGACAATGTAAACTCATCTTGTCAGAACCATCATTTTTTCTAAACAGGAATAATATGTGAGTTGGGAAACTCTGGTTTTTGGGGAGAGGTTATTGATGAACATGTATATAAAGTGTTGTCGATGAGTAGATTACAATGACTAACAGATGTTAAATAAAACATATTCCCTATGTGAAGTTAGATTTCATTTTCTGTAGCAAAATCTACATTCTCATTGTGTCTTTAGCTTTAGAATTTCAATGTTTTTATTTTGAGCTTTCTTATTTTGTACCCAAATCCATTCTTTCCACTTCCAAATGTATTGAGGGAGGGCCATATGAATCCTTAGCAGAGTAGGGAGGGGGCTGATATAATTGATACTCTCCTGTGTATGCAAGATCAGGTAGACCTTGAGTATTTATAATGGCCCTGTGACTATTCCAGATTCTCAGAGGATTCTCAGGCTGGAAATCCCCAAGACCTTGCCCTCTCAGCCTTATCTGTGTTAGAGGGAAAGTCTTCTGTAATTGATACATCTTCAAATTTCACATGCTTCATCAGGGAACTGTCCAGCAGTAAACAGCTTCTGATGGAAAACGTAGTATTGGTGCTGAATATCAGCCTGAGATATTTGTGCAATTTTGTTCTGGAAAATCTCTTGGTAAACTGAGTCCCATCTTCTATATTGGCTCATCAAAGTCAGTCAGAGAACCAGAACAATTCAGTAAACATAGGCTTTCCCCAAATATTCTTGGGCCAAATTTCTTTGGCATTCACATTTTATAATTCTATTTTGTTCCCATTGAGTCATTTCAGTCATGTCAAACTCCTCATGACCCTGTTCTGAGGGTTTCTTGGCAAAGAAACCTAAAATCTTTCCTATTTTCTTGTTCTAGTTTTACTTCTGACATTTATGACATCTCCTCTGGTGAAAATGTTTTGTTAAGTGAAGTGGCAAGGAATCCAGAACATTCCCCAATTTTACTGGAAGACAATCAAAGTGAGGAAATGGTCTACCTTCCCTACCAAATGTTAATGCCAGAGGAACTGATAGTGAAATATCCTAAAACAGTGGGGACTGAAGAAATAAAAACTCTTACTTCAGGTAAGAAGTAAAATGTTCATCTGGAACTTTCTAAAAATACATTAAACAAATGTCAAAAGGTTTTGATATCTCAGAACCAGATTTCCAATACTAAGAAAGTGCAGGTTTTTGGTTGATAAAGGAATAGATCCATTTTTCTGAAGAAAACTTAGAACGCCAATTTCCTTACTTGAAAAATGATGAGATTGGACTATGTGATTTCCAAGCATCCTTCTGACTCTGACATTCTACACTTCCAAGTTCAGAGTTACAGTCAACACTGTGTTTCAACTTCAGTGTTTCTATATTGTTGGAGTTTCTGGACCACCTGTATCTTTTAATGTGAGAGGCCCTACCAAAGTGACCACTGGCATTAGCCTCCCACCCTGGTGATAACAACAGCAACAACATCACTAGCTTTTATCAGAGCTCACAAGATAGAGTGACTGAGTGTGCTGGGAGATGAGCATGTAGGACAGACTAGAGAAGGGAAGAGGTCATAGAAGCCTCTCAGAGTTTACTGTGCTCTTGAATTTGGGTGAAATTGATAAGAAATGAAAGGGTTCCTTCTTATAAATACAGTGGGGTGCTAAGCCATAAAGCATACCCCTAGAGATCTTTTCTCAACCATATGTGCCATCACCCATGATCCCTCTCAGTGTTCAGGGAGTGTGTTTGATTATTAATGATCAGAAAATCAATTTAAGTAATGACAACATTTTTTCTATCAAAATAAAATATTTTCATCAATATGTCACAAAAATTCAAACCCTCCACAGAAAACTTTATTTTGGGAGGCACTCTTTCAGAAAATCCACAAAATTCTTCTAAAACACCTATTTGGCCACATTATAAGCATTTTAAGTATCATTTCATACCTATGATGTGTATAAAAATCATAAGCAATACATAAAGAATACAGGATATGTGCAGGAACACCCTAATGTCATGAAAAATTTTAGTGTTTTGGGTTTCATTTTTTAAGTTTCCAAAGAAAAGTAAAGTTTAGTTGTTAATTTTTCAAAATTTAGTTTAATTCTGTTATAGTTCTGTCTGATAAACTTAAAATAATGTCCTTAATGATGAAGCATTCGATAAATGTTCACTTTTTAAAATAATGATAATACTTCTTGGGTACAAACCCTAATGGAAGATGCTACACAGAGTTATAATGAGGAAAGACCGATTTTTTTCCATATTCATACCTGGTATCTTCTCTTGATGTGGTTTCTTCTCCCCCCGCCCCCCAACTAACTGGTTATCACTCACATTCCCATTGTCAGCTGTTTTGCTTTTCCATGCCTTCTTTAGAAAGAAATGATTTTTTAAACCTGAAACTTTGGTAACCATAGGTCATAATGGATAAAATGTGGGACTTGGAATGTCCTAGGTCCCAATCTTCTCTCTGAAACTTATCAGCTGTATAGGACAAGTAACTTCCCCCTACCTCTAAGCTCCAGGCGACATTCTAAGGCTCTACCTTGTAGGTGGGTTACACCTGAAGGGCATGCCCTCACTGGAAAATTAATGCATTTAAACTCTAAGACGGCGAAAGCCTATCTTTGTAGATATAGAAATTCCGAATGAAAAAACTGCCAATCATTCCTAATACAAGTTCTCTCGCTAATAACGACTGAATCAGTCAGCATATAGATGTGTTTGGTGCCATGGCAACAAGGTGTTCAGATGATCAAATTTTCATTCTAATATTCACTGCCAAGTAGACTAGCTTCTTTTGCTTTTAAATCAAAGGTTGCCTACTTTGACTACATCCATATTGCGCACCTCTTGTAGCTGTAATTAATCAAGAATAATAGTAACAGATAACATGTATATATAGTATAAGACATATACATAAATCTCTATATACACACAAATATTCTCACTGGAGCCTCACAATTCTGGGAAGTAGGTGCTATTATCTCCATTTTACAAATGAGGAAATGGAGACAGAGAAGTTAAGTGTTTCAGAGGTTAAAGAGTCAGTGTCAATCAGCTATTAAGTGCCTGAGGCAAGATTAGAACTCAGGGCATTCTGATCTCATGTTTGTCTATCTATCCACTGGCAGTTCCTAACTACCTCAATCAACCAGCAAATGTTATTAACTATCTACTTTATATGTCAGGGACTATGCTAGATGCTGGAATACAAAAACAAAAATTCCCTGACCTCAAAGATTTTACAAGATTTATTATTAACAAACACTTAAGTGCCTATTGGGACTATTGAAAAGACTAGAAGGGATTAGGATGGTGTAAAAACAGCAAAGCCATAATTTGTGATTGTTTTGTTAATGACATTTTCTGTTCTATTAATACAAACACATAAACTGTTTCAGGAAAGACAGATGTGATCAGATTAAAAACTTGTCTTTGAAGTCATCTTTAATTACCATTCTTCATTAGTAAAAGAAGGATTTTCCATTTGGTTTTTCAGATGACTGGGAGTCACAATGATTATCTTAGCCAGGATCAGGTCCATTTAGGCTGAAGAAATAATTGTGCAAGGCTTTGTTAAGAAAAAAATTTCATTGATCAGTTATCCTCCTCCCCTGGTGGAAAATCATGGCAGCTGGTAGTAGTAAGAGGCTCAATCCTGAGGAGGGTGACTTTTTTCACAATTTAAAAAAAAACAACCAAAACTAAGAGCTGAGTTTCTGACTGGGCCTCTTTTCTAGGAATACAGTATTGTAGTTTTCTTTCTGTTAAACAGGGCTAGTTGCCAAGAATTATTTGTGTTATTCTATGTAACGTGGCTTCCTTCTGGAGAAGAAACTCTGACTCGAGTATTTTTGTTCAATCTCTGAAAGATTGGAAGTGATAAGTCCCAGATGTGTTACACAAGTAACAGACTCTTGGTAACTGACCCAAGTGCTTCCATAACATCTGGATTGCTGTTGTGATTCACGAGGTAGTCACTGTGAGCAGTGACTGATGAACTCATTCTTCAGTGGAAATTCTGGGTGAAAACAAGGAATTTACTCAGCTTAAACATTCCTGGAATCTTGTGAACAAGTCCCTTTCCACATATATACATCCATTAACCTTGTTCCTGTCTAAAGCCTCTTCCTAACTGCTGGTATCTCTGCTATTCCTCCACTCATCTTCATCCCCATCTCCTTCCTGTGTCTTTCCCCATTGCATATAGTATTGACTCCCTGAATTGTGTCCACATCTTTGGTGAGGAAAGAAATAATCGGCTGGCTGAATTAGAGGGACTCAGAGATAAGAGTTATCCTATGTAAATTCAGTTGAATTCAGGTGTTCTCCTCTTTATCCAAGAGCTCTAACATTCCTTCATACATTCATTCAACAAATATTGAGGGGGAAGCTAGATGGTGCAGTGGATAGAGACTGACCCTGGATTCAAGAAGACCCGAGTTCAAATCTGGCCTCAGATACTTGACACTTATTAGCTGTGTGACCCTGGGCAAGTCACTTCACCCCATTGCCTTGCCAAAAAACAACAATGACAACAACAACAACAACAAATATTGGGTTTTTACTACATGTAAAGTGCCTGGTGACCCCCTGCAACAACACTTTGTGTGTCTAAACTAGAAAAAGTGCCCTGTAAAACAAAAAGCCATTTTTGTCAGGCGGATGCTATTATAATCTCCATTTGCAGCTGAGCAATTAAGGATAATAGATGTTAAGAGACTTACCCAGGTTCACTAATAAATGTCTAAAGTGGAATTTGAACACAGGCTCTTCCTGACTCCAAGTCAAATGCTGTATCCATTATATCCAGCTAGCATTCATTGGCAGAATTTGCTTTTGTCTAGAATTATATGGTAAAACAACACACTCTCTGGAAAAATGTGTGTTCAACACGCTTTTGAATTTCGTCTGCATTATGATGATTTTCTCCATCACTTTAAGTCCAGACAACCAATAAAATAATCAACCAAGCTCTAATGTGTAGCATTTCCCAATTTCCTAGGTGTGAATATTCACACTGAAAACTTAACTATTGGCTTTCCAGAGCCTGGATGACATGGCTGTCCACTACTGGTTCTGAATGATTTTTTAAAATAAAATAATAATGGAATCTGCTAATTTAAAAAAAAATATCCTAAATGAAATGATACAGCCACAGAATTTCTGGGCAAACTGAGCTTTTAATGACAACAGTTGATGACATAGTCTTAAAATAGTTACAAAATAATTAATTTGACTCTCATGGTTGGGGGAGGGGTGTGTGTGTGGCTGTCAGAAGTCCCCAGATCCTTCATTTTAAAGTCATTCCTGCGGTTGTCAGCCTTACCTTTGATTGGGAGTCAATACGGAGGAATCCGCCTTTCCACAGTCCCTGCTTCATTTCATGTCCTATTGTCTGTGACCCCATTTAATATCAGCTCAGGTCAATGTATATGGTCTATTTAAAACAATACTTTCCCCGACAATGTTCCATGTGTCTTGTGCTGCAATGACTAATAAAGAAATTACCCTGGCTCTCGGTTTGTGTTTTGTTTCAAGAAGTAATTTCCCTAATAGAATGCATGGAGCTTTGCATGTGACCCCGTCACCAAAGCCAGCAGTGGATTCCATGCAATCTAACAAAAAAAAAATTTTATATCAACAAGCTTTTATGAAATGCCTACTATGTGATAGTACAGTACTGGCTGTAAGTAGGCACCAGGGATACACAGAGGACATGATTGGCAGTTCCTGCCTTCAATGGAGTTTATAATCTCAGAGTGAGAGGATGGGGCATGTGCACAAATAAATACAGATCTTAAGTTTGGGACTGGAAGGAACTTTACCAGTGGTCTAGTTCAAGCCCCTCATTTTACAGATGAGGAAACTGAGGCCCAGTCAGGCTAAGTGACTTGCCCGGTGTCCCACAGATTGTGAGTGGCAGAGCTAGGATTTGAATCCTCGCCGTGATTCCAAATGGGTGCTCTTTCACTGACAATCTATTCCTCAGTGGCTCTACTCACGAACCCCCCAGCAACTCTCTAGACCAAAATACCCTTCCTTGTCTGCCACTCCTCTGCATGTGTTATCTCCCTTTGTTG